CACAAAACCCTTTTGACATCTAAAATGAAGATAACACTGCATATATCTGCATATTTTTACCTTTATGCTATGTAGAAAAAAACTAGTGTGTTGCATTTATTAAATCAGTGAAAGATTCTTTTATATAATCTCCATCTGTGAACGGCTTCCCGTGCCTGACTATTTCCTGAGCGGCCACAAACCTAGCATATGTAGTTGAATTTGCAGACTTAATCCACTTCTTGAAATGATTTTTGCTCAGATCAACCTTCCGCATCAGTTCCGAAATGGCTTTTTCTCTCTCATCTCCGTCCGGATATTTTTCAGCAAAGGCTGTGTGTTTATTCTGGAAATGTCTTGCAACATTCGACTTTTTGTTGCTTGCCAATTTCTCACCACATATTAAGCATACTGGTAAACCAGTCTCATCAGCAGTGAAAGCCAATGAATCTGCCCACGTACCATTACATGTTCTGTTTTCTTCTGAAACTTTTCTTTTCTTGGATTTATCCATGGCTGGCCTACCGGGGGTCGAAAAGCTCAATTAATCGTATGCTGGCGGGTGTCACACATTGGCGGTTATGACGCATATTTTGAGCGACAGGGAGCCGCAGCAGTGGCATGAAAGAGCCACATGCAGCTCCGGAGCCGCGGGTTGCTGACCCCTGGTCTATACCAAGGACTTTGCAGGATTTCAGGCCAGATCTTTTCCTAAACCTGTCTGCAGATGGTGGGGATTGAACCTGGAGCCTCATGTATCCAAAACACATTCTCTACCACTGAACTGTTGTCTGTCAGCTAAAAAGTAAGGTTCAAGTCCTCATGGTTCCAAACAGAGGACTGGATTCAATTGGAACAGGAGATATTCCAATACTGAGTCAGGCCAGGGATCCCTCTAACTATTTAGGGTCTCAGCTGCGAGTCCTTTCAAGCCTTACCTAGAAAGGTCAGAAATCCAATCTGGACCTTCTAAAATCACAGGAAGGGATATGCCCCTTCCTGTGTTTTTCTGGCTCCTTCCTAAGGCAAGCTGTGAATTATCATAACCCTTCTCTAACTTGTACTTCAGATTGTAGGAATACAACTCCCATCAACCCCAATTAGCATGGTCCATGGACAGGGACCATGGGAGCTGTAATTCTGAACATCCAACAGGGCCCACACTGGGAAAATTTAAAAAAAGATACGACAGATAGAATTCTGTATAAGAAAAGAAAAGATGGCAGGTAAGAAAACATTGCTATTTTTTATTTTATTTTATTTTATTTTATTTTATTTTATTTTATTTTATTTTATTTGAATTAGTTTGCGGTCATCTCTATGGCTGGGTCCTTCTCAAGTCAAATCACTCCTAAAGCAGATGCAGTAAAAATCACACATTCCATGCAGATCCGTAAAAGCAGAGGCCAATAAAAATCCACAAAAACAGACATTACTGATAAAAAGCCACGCAAACTGAGTTTATAAATACAACTAGCGGCCCAAATTGTGGTGGAAAGCCTTGCGAAACTGGTGGATCTCCTCGGCTTTCCCAGGGACTTGCAAAGAAGGGGCATGACGAACCCCTGGTGGAAGCCGATTCCGGAAGTATGGGGTCACCCCAGGAAGGGCTGCGCCCCCTTGCTCACCCATCTGATCTTTTGCTTTATTGGCTCCTTCCAGAGATGTCGCTCTGTCTGCTTGGATGACTGAAGGGTGAACTCCACACAGTTATATACTCCGAAGCAACATGCTTTCCTTTCGACTGGCTCAAACCATCTGACCCGTCCATCCTGTGCCGAAAGCTAGTGAGGCCTAGTGCCATGTGGTCCCCGTCACCCTAGGAGGAGATGTCAGCCAGGAAGAAGCGAGCAGCCAAAGTTGGTCTCCTCTGTGTTGAGTCCGTGGAGGAAGAAGGGCTGAAAAACGGGGGGAAGACCCGCCCTCTTGCGCAGGACGGGGCAGCTGGAGAGTTCGCGCCGTGGGCCATGCCGACGCAGGCGGGATCGGGCACCGAGGAGGAACCGGCCCGGAACGGGGAAGCCCAGTGGCGGGATTTCGTGAAGGTGGTGCACCCCCGTCCCTGGGAGGGCCCGGCGCTGCCGAAGATGATGCGATGGGAAGTCAGCAGGTCTGCCCTGGTCCCTTCCGAAAGCCCGGCCGATTTCGGCAGCGGGCCGGACGTGATCGGGCTCCTGCCAGGCCGCAGCAGTGCAACCCCGGAGGTCTCTTGCGGCCAGGAGACGGGAGACAGCGACGAAGCGAGCACGGAGGCCCCGAACAGGGCTGGCATGGAGGCGCGACGCCAGCGCTTCCGCCTGTTCCGCTACCAGGAGGCCGAGGGCCCGCGGGAGGCTTTCGAGCAGCTGCACGACCTTTGCTGCCAGTGGCTCATGCCGGAGAGGTGCACGAAGGAGCAGGTCCTGGAGCTGCTCATCCTGGAGCAGTTTCTCGCTGTCCTTCCCCCGGACATGCAAAACTGGGTCAGGGAAGCTGTCCCAGATTCTTGTTACCAAGCGGTAGCCCTCGCCGAGGAATTCCTGCTAAGGCAGCAAGAGGCCGAGGGTTGGGAGGGACGGGTGAGTTGAGCACCGGGGTGGTGTTGGACTGGGAACCTGGGAGACCCGGGATCAAGTGCCCGCCTGGCCATGGTGCTCACTGGGCGTCTTTGGGCCAGTCACTCCCTCTCATCCCTGCCTACCTCACAGGGTTGTTGTTGTGAGGATAAAATGGCGCCAGCTAGGCCATCTTGGGTTCCTCACAAGAGGAAAAAAGTGGGCTATAAATGCAATGTAATAAGACTACCGTATTTCTCTGAAAATAAGACCGGCTCTTATATTAATTTTTGCTCCAAAAGACGCATTAGGGCTTATTTTCAGGCTTACGAAAGCCGTAAGATTCTTGCCCCAAGAGTCCCCCATGATCCCTTTCTTGTACTCGACGGAATAGCTCTTTCTTTTTGCACCCGTCTTGCATGTTGCATCCATGCATTAAGTGCATCCATTACAACACACGACGTATTGACGTTATTTGTGTGTTGTGTCTGTACTCCGATTGGTCATTTGGCAATAAGTCTTGAATCCATCTGTTTACATAGGTGTTTACCTCTCGGCCAAAGGCACCTGCTTTGGTATTTACAAATACTTAATTATCATGTATATTACCATTTATTTGAAGTATTAATGTCAATAATATTCATTCAGATTTAATTATATATTAACATGATTATTTTATAATTCAGTATGTCCATCGTGTGTTGCAACGGACATACTACAGTGTTTCCCCATCCGTCTGGCTGACAGTCTTAACTGGGGCTTATTTTTGGGGTAGGGCTTATATTACGAGCATCCTGAAAAATCATGCTGGGGCTTATCTTCTGGTTAGGTCTTATTTTCAGGGAAACATGGTAATAATTGAAAAGCAAAGAGGGTGGCAGTGCTGGTGCTGAAGACTGCAGCCTGGCAAGTAGTCTAAGGATAATTTTTAAATGAGTATGTGATAAGAACCTGTGGGGGGTGAAGTAGCTCCATCACTGTGTCGTTCTCCACTCCGGCCTGCTTCTAACGACACGCTCTTTTGCTGTGCTAGCCATTTGAGACGTCTGCAGAAGCGGCTGTGGGCTTTTCCAAAGCAGATCAGGTGTACTCGGAGCGCTACAGGGTGGTCAAGCAGGAGCGTGGCCAGGAGGCCAGCGTGCCGGGTATGACATCTTTATTGTCCCTTCTGCTTTTGATGTTCAGGTTGTGGGCGCCAGTTCTTACACAGCCAGCATAGTGTTGCCCATGGCTGAGGAAGAGCTACAGATTCCTGGAGGAATTGGCTCTCCATGGTGCTAGTCCTCATGGCCATGTGCTGGGACGTGTGCCTCTGTGGATCAGTTGCTGGGAAACATGGGTGGGAAGGTGCTGTTGCACTCAGGTCCTGCTTGGGGGATCTTGTGGGGCCAACTGGGTGACTTTGGGACAGTCGCAGACTCTCAGCCCAGCCTACCTCACTGGGTTGTTTTGGGAATAAGATTGAGAAAAGAAAGAGCAAGAGAATGATGTAAGCTGCTTTGAAAGCATTGTAAGAAAAAGTGGGATATAAATCTAATAAATAAGCCATGGTCATCCAAGGAAATCATAGAACAAACTATTGTTTCTTATCATGGTTTATAAAGACCAAATGTACTTGGTGAAATACTGAAACTGGGTTTGGACAACACAACAGATGACAAGCCGTGCTTTTTCCCCCCCGCATGGTTTGTGTCATTTGAATCTGGCCATGGATATTTCTAGCACAACCATCTTGAATGTGGGGAAAGCCGTTTCAGTGCTTGCATTTAACAAGAGCCCATTTTAGTCCACTTCCTTTTTCTCTCTCTTGAGTTTCTTTTCTCTGCACCTTCCTTACTGCATTTCCTCTTGATCCAGATGGCAAAGACCTTGCCACTGAGCATGATCCAGCAAGAACAGAACTGGAAGTAAGCTCTGTGGATCCAGATAAGCCAGAAGACTCTGCAGAAAGGCCAGTGAAAAACTGGGGAAATCGATCGGTTGCTGATTCTTGGAATGACCTTTCTGAAATCACAATCCCACCCCTGGAGATGAGAAAGAAGAATGCAAATGCAGCTCTCAGGACAAGCCAGACCCAGAAACTAGGTCTTCACAGACATCAGAGAATCAACACAGGGCCGAACCTGCATATTTGCACAGAATGTGGGCAGAGCTTCACACGGAAAGCCAACCTCTTCCGGCACCAGCAACTCCACACAGGCCAGAAGCTGCACCTGTGTACAATCTGCGGGAGAAGCTTCACTCGGAGAGAAAATCTTATGAGACACCTGAGAATTCACACAGGTGAGCAGTTGCAGGAAAGGTGGTCAGTCCTCCAGCAGGCAAGGGCAGCATCCAGTGTTCATCCAGAGGTTTTGACATGCAGATACTCTGGCCTGTAAGCCCCGGGATCCCACACCGTTGGCTATGCTGGCTGGTGAGGAAAAGCGTTGTAGGCCAGTTCATCTGGAGGGCTGGAAGCTGCCCAAAACTGCCCTTGGGAAAGATGAACATCCTGTGTCAAATCACATGTGTCAAAGAAAATGGACGTCTAGCAGCCTTCCCAACTTGGTGCCCTCCAGATGTTTTGGACTTGAGCTCCCATCAGCCCCAGCCTCCATTGCCAGTGGTCAGGAACGCTTGGGAGTCTTGACTGAAAGATCGAAGACTCATCCATCGTCTTTGCATTATTGAGTTATTTAGAGGAAGGCCCCTGGGGGGGCTGTAGTTCCCCCCTGCTTACTGGAAGGTCCTCGATTCAATCTCTGGTTTTATTAAAGGATCTCGGGTGGCACGTAATGGGGAAAATAAAACACGCACCCGCTTTATATGTAGAAGGCCTCTGGTTCAGACCCTGCTATTTCCGGGAGGGGCTGGGTTGAGTCCATGCTGGCAGTACCAAGCTAGGTGGGCCAGTGGGCCAAATTTGTGGAGGACTCCTGTGGGGGAATATTCGGAGGTCTGGCCCTCGCAACCTCTGCCTGAAGGAACCCCCAGCGGCTTCTGTGGTCCTCCCCCATTTTGTTCTCACAACAGCCCTGTGAGGTAGGTTATGCCGAGAGTTAGTGATTGGCCCAAGCAGGGACTAGAACCTAGATCTGAATCTCAGCCCAGTGCTCTAACCACTATGCTACATTTGCTCTCAATTTTAAGAGCCTGGGACTAGGACTCAGGCGATCTGGGTTCGAGTCCCTGCTCAGCCATGGAGCCAACTGGGTGACTTTGGGCCAGTCACAGACTCTCAGCCCAACCTACCTCACAGGGTTGTCGTTGTGAGGATAAGATGGAGGAGGAGAATGATGTAAGCTGCCTTGAGCCCTTTGTAGGAAAAAGGCAGGATATAAATTGAAAAAAATAATAAATAAAAATAATAACGACTCCCCAATAGAACCAAGTTAGTTGCCTCTACCTGAAGCTTCATTAGTCATCTCAATATAGAATGCACTCATGGTTTGACTTCCTGGGTGGACCCCGGGGGATGGTGGAGGACAGGAGAGCCTGGAGGAATGTTGTTCATGGGGCCGCGATGGGTCGGGCATGACTTTGCGACTAACAGCAACATGGTTTGACTTACTTGACTTGGGGCCATTTTGACAGCTTGCTGGCTTGCTTATTTATTTATTTAAACATTTCTATCCCGTCCTACCCGAGAAAAACATCTCAGGATGGCTTACATTTTTTTAAACAATAACAACAAGTAATAACAAAAATTATATCAATTCATAACAACAACAAGTAATCTCCGTAAACAGCAAAAACATAATCTCAGCAAAGTCCAAATCAAAATCAGAAGCAAAGGCCAAAACCAAGACAAAAAGTTTTTTATTTATTTTCCGATTTCTATCCTGCCTTTTTCCTACAAAGGGTTCAAGGCAGCTTACATCTCCTCCTCCATCGTATCCCCACAACAACAACCCTGTGAGGTAGATTGGGCTGAGAGTCCGTGACTGGCCCAAAGTCACCCAGTTGGCTCCATGGCCAAGCAGGGACTAGAACCCAGATCGTCTGAGTCTCAGTCCCATGCTCTTAACCATTAATTGGGGAGGGGTGTAAGGTTACCCACCTTCTTTTGAAGTGCCATTTCTCCCCTTTGCTGCCTTATGCATAGGCTGTTTGTTCAATAAAGACACCACGGGTTATCCCCAGCAACCTCATTTTCCCTCATACACCCATATTGAATTGGGTGCCCATTTGGCTCCAATTTGACAATGTACTTTTAGCCAAGTGTTGCCAGGAACCTGACAAAGCAAAGATGGGTTGATGAGGATGATGTAGATGAGGATGATTATACATTTCTATACCACCTGTAGCCAAAGAATCTCTGGGGGATTCACAACATTTAAATCGCCCATCCAGATTTCAACCAGGCCCAGTCCTGCTTAGATTCCAGGATTAGGCAGGATCACGCACTTCAGGCTATACGGAAGCCATTTATAAAAAAATTCTCAAGCAATAAAGCAGAACGCAATTAAAATATAAAGAATCATTTTAAAAAACCTATTTTAAAATCAAGTTATACAAAACCATTGTGGCCGCTTGTTTAGATAAGGATGCTTTCAGCAGGTTTCAGAAAGAAGCCATGTTGACATCTAGCAGACCAAAACTGGCAGGGATTTCTACAGTGAGGGGAGCCAACACAGTGAAGGCCCTGCTGTAAATTGACCTGCTCCATGTGGAACCACATCTGATGAGATGGGAAAAGGTGCTGTCTCAGATAAGCCTCTTCTAAGGCCCAGTTACTGGCATTCAGAGTATTAAAGTAAAACGTAGTGGCATTTTGACCGTATCAAAATAGGGATGTGGCCCATACGGCTTCTGTGCAATAGTCTGGCTCTCTGATTGAAGGAGTTTCGGTACCCCCACCATGGAGAATGGCTAGTAGACAAAATCCTGCTTCCGTGCGGGTTCACACAGGGCACAGTTTCCTTACATTTCTTCCCTTTATTCTAGCAGATAATGGGTGGATGATTCAGAATGAGGAGGGGAAACTTCGGGCACCATTAGAAGGAATGGAAGTAGCTGAGCTAGAGAACCAAGATGGCCGGACACGGCAGGAGAGATGCGAAGCGGAGAACTGGAGGGATAAATCCCTGGAAGACGAGGAGGGTTCCTGCTTCGAAATCGCAATCCCGCAAAAAGTCTGTGAAGGTTTGAGGAGGAGTACATGCCCCGTTTGTGGGAAAAGCTTCACTCGTAAAGCGACCCTTAATAGACATCAAAGGATAGTACATGCAGGCGAGAACCTGTTTACATGTTCAGATTGCGGGAACACGTTCATTGAGCCCTTGTTGGAACACAGAACTGGCAACCCAGAAACTCACCCAAGGAAGGATTTACATCAGTGTGCGAAATGCAAGGAGAAAAATGCTCTAAACCCAAGTCTCAATATCTGTGAAAGCATCCATAGAGAAAAGAAACTTTTCAAGTGTTTGGACTGCGACCGAAACTTTAGCTGCCACTCACACCTTCTTAGGCACCAGAGAATCCACACTGGAGAGAAACCATATTTGTGCCTGGCCTGTGGGAAGAGTTTCCGCCAAACAGCGCATCTTGTTAAGCATCAGAGGACGCACGGGAATCAGGCACGCTTTGTCTGGTGAATGCGACGGAGGAGAAGACTTCTCCTGGACAGTAGACCTTATTTACATATCGGCAGACCCATGGAGGGAAGAAAGATGCACTCACAGATGATTTATCCGTCTTTCCAAACTCAACCAAGTGTGTGGAGTACAGTTCCCAGCATCCTCCAGACAGCTGCTTTGCATTCAGAAAATCTTAGGTTCGATACAGAGTGTATCCAGCTAAAAGGATCTGGGTTAAGAAACGCTTCCTTCTGCTCAGGGAAGGGAATGGGCAACATTTGCAGAAGAATCCCCAGTCTCTGGTGGCTGGGTGAATAACTTATGCAGGCCAGATTAGGGCCCAAAGTTTTAGACTGTCCACCATGTCACAGAAAGCTAGTGTACATCTAGTTTTTTAAGAGAGTCCCATGGTGTGTCAAGAAGAAATCATTTTGAGGGTGTGTGTTCTGAGTGTGGTAAATAATTCCGTGGTCCAGAGGAGCCCAGCATCGGAAACATAAACTGGTCACACCGGTTTGCTTCCAGTTAGAGTTTGTCAACTAGAACGTTTAAGGACTATTTACCTATGGTGCAAGGAGACAAAATCCAGGCAATTAGGAAGCAACGTTTAAAATTAATTTTTGCCCCGATCCTGTTCAGCATGTCAGCGTGCTAAAAATGAGTGTTTGAAAGGAGGCAAATAAAATATTTTCAGTTCCATACATTGCCAAATTAATCCCAGCGTTCCACTGATGCTAATGACAATGTTACTCTCTTGAGCTGAATATGCGGTCTCTTCAGTGCTTTCACTTCTTTCTCAGAATTACTTGGGGTTTTCCTTCTTCAGATCTGTTTTTCTTTGTTCTGCTCCCAAGGGGTGCATTGAAAGGAGAAATCCATTGTTTCAAGAAGTTAATGCAAGTATAGGCAGTCCCTGGATTATGAACAAGTTCCATTCCTGAGAAATGGATAATCATCTTTAAGTCGAATTTGTATGTAGGAGGGATCACGTAAAGTTGGTCTTCCACCTTTGTGAGGGTTAGGGTAAAGGACCCCCATGAAAATGGAAAAATTGTGCATATATCTAGCCCTGCTGCTAACCCATCATTGCCTCCTCTTTGCAGCAAGGAAATGCCAAAGAGATTTCCTTCTCTGGATGGGCAGGGCATGCTTTGGAAGACTTCCTCTCTATCCTTCCATTTCCTCTCTCTATGGTGATGCTTTGGAGGCTTCCCTCTCTCCCCTTTCACTTCCTCTCTATGGTGATGATCATTTTCTGCGTTTTTTAAAATCAATAGGCTGTATGGCAGTTTGTTCATAAGTACGGATTGCTTGTTTGTAACTCAGATGTTTGTAATTCAGGGACCTCCTGTAACTTTGCATGAGAGTGGCTTATGTTTGTGACATAGTAATACGCATGGATTTATTTATTAATTCTAGCCTTTGTCAGAATGGCCCCCAGAAAAAAACATAGCAATGCATCAAGGGAAGTTTTTCTTACCAAGTCACAGTGGCCCCATAACCAGGAAAGATAGGAAGGTCAGGTATACATTTTGTCTTTTTTTAAAAAATATGACAAATAGGATCTATTTTTGCAAACAATTCAGAAACTCCAGCAAGTATCAGTTCTTACTGATATCAATTGCTACTCCATGAGCTCAGAGCAGCATAACTTACTAAACTTTCAAGTTGAAGATACACCTAGAGGTCATCTAGTTCAACCCACTGCTCATCACAGCATAAGAAGAGTTGTGTGGGATCAGACCAAGGGTCCATCCAGTCCAGCATTCCAGTCATGCAGTGGCCAACCAGCCGCATGTGGAAAATTTGCAGGTAGGACATGAGGGCGACAGCCCATGTCTCCCATCCACTTATATAGCTAGGCACACTGCCTCTGATACTGGAGCTGGGATATGGTCATGAGGACTAGTAGCATGGATAGGCTTCTCTTGGAATTTCTCCAGTCCCCTTCAAGAGTTGTTCAGGTGACATGGCCCTTACTACATCTTGCAGCTGCAAATTCCATAGTTAAGCTCCACACTGTCCTGACTCTCCCACCGTGCAGCTTCATGGGTTGGCCCCTTTGGTTCCAATATTATGAGAAAGGGAGAAAAGTACATCTCTGCCCACTTTCTTCACACCATGCGTCATGTTGCATATTTCCCCCTCACTTGTCTTTTCTTGAAGCTCAACAGTCCCGCTGCCGGTCCTTGAAAAGCCATTTCTCCAGTCCCTTGAACAGCCCAGTAGCCTTTCTGGCACATTTTCCCAGTTCTACAATTATCCATCTGGAGGTGTAACAAGCAATATTGCACACAATACTGTGTGCGGTATTTTAAGTGTGGTTTGTATAAGGGCATTAAAATACGGGCAGTGTTATTGTGACGCCCATCAGCCCTCCCTGCCAGGTGGTCACAGTTTTGGTACCTCCAGCAAAGGGGGAACTTTGAAGCAGCCCGTTCGGAACTGCTGCGTTGGCTGACAGTTTAACTCAGAGCCCAACTTGAGCTGCTGGTTTCGATCTCCAACTCAAGTGCTGCTTATCTGAGCCCTGGGACCTCGGGTGCTAGTGACGATCTACATGGCAAATTCTGCAGTGCAGGCCACGCACTATGCAGGTCTATCTCGCTGGAGAACTAAGTGTTCTGGCTCGGCCTTGAATGGCTAGTTCAGCTTCACAAAACTCAAGCAGAGGCAAAAACTGCTAGAAGTATTCTGGTGACCGATCGACACAGCTACCTGCATTTTTGGGACTTTCCTCGGAGGTGTTGCTGGGGATGCGTGAGAAATTGGTTTTGGGAGTGGGAATCCAATGGATCAGCTGCTCAGACTCCAGCCTGCTTTCCCATGGCCCCGAGTCTGGCTTCCTGCTGAGCGTACTAAGCTTTTTCACATGTGCCTGCCATGAAGAGTCCGTGTGAGCACCGTCCCTCTGTTCACTTCAGTTTTGGCCACTGCGATGAACGAGACATGAAGAAGGCTCCCATTCGCCCAACTGGAGTTGCAAGAGTGTTTGCGAGTTTCCTTTGGGCTCGGCTCACTTTCTAAGACGGCCGAGAACAAAAGGAAAACTACAAACTGAAGAGGGGCAGATTCCTGGGAACTTCATTGCCACCCTGGGTGTAGCCACTGGGACTGTGGCAAATTCATTTCTTCCCCAGGTAAGTCTGAGGGCTGCAGCTGAGCTCACAGGAAGTCACGTAGCATCCAAGTCCCTGTTCAAAAAAACCCTAGTTCTTCCTGTGAGCTCCGAGGAAGGTCCTTGTTTCAGGAACGTTTTATTCGCATTGGTGTCTTCTGTTGTAGCCTTGCCACAATGGAATGCCCTGCCATTCAGACCCCTCATTTTAAAATTATTATTTATTATTACAATTATATACTGCTCAATAGCAAAAAGCCTCTCTTTCTCCCTGCTATCCTTAATGCTTCACCCAGACTAGTGCTACAATGCCCTCTTGTTCTCCCGTCACGCAACCTTTTGGCTACATAAACAACGGCACTCTCCGTTGCATTACGAAGATGTCGATAATAAAGAAGCTGATGGGTACCATGCAGCGGTTGCATGAAAAGATCTCTCAGGGCCTGATTCATCCACCGGTGTATTTCTGGAACATATTGTGATAAATATATTTAAATAAATGGATCTTTTGCAAGGATATGATAGCTTTTGTCAAGGACATTTCGTTTCCTTTATGATGTTCTATTTTACCCAGTAGCCAAAGTCCTCTGGGCAGTTTCAAATAACTGCACAACAGCGTAGTATAAAACTGTTTATGAATAAAAATACAACAGAATTTTGCATGTCAAGCTATGTTGTCAAATGCTTGGCTGTAATGGGAAATCTTAATGGGCTTTGGCAGTGCTGGTCCCAGGCAGAGCTTGGTGGGGAGCAACAGATGGGAAGCCACGACCAAGAAGACCCTCTGCTTATTCACCACACCCTGAACCTGCCTTGGAGGAGAGGCTCAGATGAAGTGCATGGGAGAGTTCATAACAGAAAAGGTGTTCCTGAGCATGCAAAGAGCACCCTCCTTGCCATCCTCTCAAGACCCAGCCTAAGAGCCCTGCTGCAGGATTAGACCAAAGGTCCATCAGGTTCAGTATCGTATTTCCTTGCAGGGCCAACAAAACATCTTTGGGAAGTCCAAAAACCAGACACAAGGGCAAACATTTCTCTCCTACAGTGGCTTCCCAGAACTAGAATGTGAAGATTTGGAGGTTTCATCCAGTTATCATGGATGATACACTGGGGAAGAGCTGTAACTCATGGTAGAGTCCTTGCTTTGCATGCAAAGGGTCTGAAGTTCCATCCCCAGAATCTCTGGGCAAGGCATTGTCTTCAAGGTGTTTGCAGACTGATTTATAATTTGCTTTAGAATTTTTCCAGGGATAAATTATCAGGACAGTGGGACTGGTTGCCTAGAGAGGTCGTGGGCTCTCCCATACTAGAGACATTCAAGGGGAAACTGGACAGGCATCTGAGTGGGATGGTGTAAATTGGTGTCCTGCATCAGCAGGGGGTTGGACCCCATGGCCTTCTTGGCTCCTTTCAACTCTGCTATTCTGTGATTATTCTGTGGGACAGAAGAGGAAAGGAACAACCAAAGAAGAGATGGATCAACTCCATCAAGGAAGCCCCAGTCTTGAGTTTACAAGAGCTGAACCAGGCCAGGATATTTTGGTGGGCTCCCATTCATAGGGACACCACAAGTCAGAGACGAATCGACAGCACAAAACAGCAGCTAGTCCTCATGACTTTATGCAACTGCTCATATCAGAGATGTTGGGAAAATTCAGACAAATCCTGGCAGAAAAAGGTTGCTTATATGTGCCTGCACCCATTTCTCAGAAAGCACCTGAATTCCGGGCCAGCTTACTGTTTAGCCTTTGCTGCCACTTTTAAGAAGTGGGGCCTGATGGCTTCCCAAGAAGCTGCCAGGGCCGCTGCTCTGCTGATTGCAGGAGCCGATACGGCTGCCAGGGGAACAGCTTTGCAGTCACCCCCCCTTTGCATGTGGGGACTCAGGATAATCCCTGTGCCTCTGTTCATCCCCTACACTCAAACACCATTGCACTGAGCCGCCTCTACACACCCCTCCCCCTCTTCAGACTGTGATCCCTTTATTTCGACTTCAACTGCCCAGCTGCTGGACCCATGTGCCTCAGAATCTATAAAACACTCTGTATATGTTCTAGAAGCTTAGAGTGGGCAGTGAGAACCACTACCGGGTAGCTTGCTGTCCTAAGTAACTGCAGGGATCTTGAGGGCTCTTTCAATAAACCGCTGAGGTTCAAGGCGAAAGGGCTCTTTCTCGGCTGAACCCAGGTATCCTGTCTCGCGGAGCCAATATGCCTGTGTACACCAGCAGCTGGGGAGCATGGGTCAGCGTGCACTCGCGCCTTGCTTGTGGGCTCGCTGAGATCTGATGTGCTTGCTCCTCACAGATGCCGCGCGCATTTACCCGGGGCGAGCCCTGTGGCGGGCAGAGGGCTTACTCCCGAGCAGGGGCGCCAGCGCCCGCCTCACGGGGCATCAGCCTTTGCCCCCAGCGCCGGCGAGGCGGCACCGGGGAAGGCGAGGCGGGAGAGAGACAGGGAGCCGCCGCCCGCTGCTCCTCCAAGGGTTAAGACCACAGAGGCGCGCTGCCCGGAAAGGCCCGCGAAGGAACGAGCGAAGGAAGCGGAGCGGAAAGCGGCGCCTCCGCCCCGCGAGGGCTCCGCTTGGGCCGGCGGCGGCCGCACGTGGGAAACCGCGAGAGGAAGCGCGGCGGGGATTGCTAGCCGGGGGACTCCCAGGGTGTTGCCCAGCCCCGGCCCCGACCTTGCCTCCCTCGCCCAGCCATTGGGGGTGAGGCGCCCGGCTGCGGAATGGCTGAGCCGGCTTCGGCAAGGCGCTAGTGCTCAGCGAGGCGTGCGGGTTTGTTATGGGAGGCTGGGGAGGGGGTGCGAAGAACTGGGTTGTTCGAGACAAGCGCTGACTGAAACACAGAGATCCTCAGGAGAAATGTAGGAGGTAAATGCCTCTATTTATCTGCCAACTCAATTGAGCAGCGTTATACATCTTATCCAGCTCCGCAAGGCATGATCCGGGCAGAAAAAGCCTGTCTAAAACGTGTTGGATTTCATTTTATTTATTGTACAGTGGTACCTTGGCTCACGAACTTTATCCGTTCCACCTCTCTGGTCATGACCCAATTTGGTTGTGAGCCAAGTCAAATTTCCCTATAAGGGTCAATGTAAATAAGGTTATTCCGTTCTGCAACTATTTTTTTTTTTTTTTACTCACAAAAATTTGAAGCAAAGTGACAAAGAACAGCAAAGATTGTAGCCATCTCTCTCCCCCTCCCCGCCAGCGATCATGCAGGGGGGTGGGGGGAGACAGGCGCAATCATGGGTGCACTGGTGGGGAGGTGGGTGCAGGGGCACTCGGGCAGGGAAGGTGGGTGCGCTCGCGATTGTCGCCTGATGCAGAGTTTGTGCCCTGGGGCAAAATTTTTATGAAATTTCTGTTCGCGACCTGATTTGGTCGTGAACTGAGGCGTTCGTGAGCCGAGGTACCACTGTATTTTATAGCCTGCCTTTTTTCCTGTTAAGGAACTCGAGACGTCCTCTCAAGTCTTCTTAGAGCAACAACAACCCTGCGAGGTAGGTTGGGCTGAAAGACTGTGATTGGCCCAAAGTCACCCAGAGTGGGGACTGGATCCCAGATCTGAGTCCCAGTTCCCCTCTCTTAACCGCTACCCCACACTGACTCTCTAATCCACACATTTAGGATTGTGCTCTAAGTGAATGCCACATAAAATTTAAATTCCTCAAAAAATACATTATGAAGCTCACTTCAGGCCAGTCACTCACTCTCAGGCTAATCTACCTCACAGAGTTAAGAGCGCAAGAAAAACCACCCTGGATCCAGCCAAGGGTCCATCCAGGTGAGCACTTGACTAACACAGTGGCAAACGACTGTCCATAGGATTGCTCAGCCCAGATGGGAGCAACACTTCTGTCCTTTCCAAACATCACAGGAACCAGAGGTAGCCATGAGGACTAGTACCCCTTGAAATCCTTTTCCATGAATATATCCACCCCCTTTTAAAGCCAACCAAATTGATGGCCATCACTACATTTTACGGATGTGAGTTCCATAAAATTTCACTCCATGCTGGGTGCAGAAGTCCCTCCTTGGATCTGCCCTGAATCTCCCACGCATCAGCTTCAGGGGATGACCCCTTTGGATTCTGGGATTATGGGGAAAAATGTCCTCTCCACTTTGTCCCCACCAAGTTGAACTCCTTTCTCCTGCCTCCCCATTCTCACCTTTTTTCTAAGCTGTTCTAAAGATAAAACAGGAGAAGGGGAAACCTGTAAGCCGACTTGAAGTCCTTGCAAGAGGAAAAACACTTAGGGCATGAATGTCATAAAGAGATAAATAAATATACACACTTGATTTTAAAACTAGATACTGCCAGCTCTTCTCTTTTGTGATAATTGTGATTAATGGGAGTATGAAAGTGATGGACCGTCAGCCACCATGCCTGAAATTCAATCCCAAGATGCACTGTTCCCTGCCTACCTCACCTGCCTCTTTTGCATTGGTCCACACATGCAGCCTGGACCCTGGAGCATCCCTGGGACGTTTTATCAGGAAGGATGGGATAAACATGTTTTTAATAATAATCTTCTGCAGTTGCCACTCTGTCCAAAGGACTCTGTAGTAATAGCATACCAGGACAGTGGAAACCACAGTCCTGGGTTTGGGCAACACAACAAGCCATGGCAGTATGGAGAAACCATAGAACAAACCATTGTTTCCTATCATGGTTTCTAAAGACCAAACTTACCATGATGAAAGACCATGATGAGGTTGAAACAACACAACAGACCAACAGTGGTAAGAAACCTACCATGGCTTGTCATGCTGTCTGAACTGGGCCTCCATCTCTCTCTCTCATATACACACTTCCCCCAAGCTTTTCAAAAGCCTCAGTGGAGTTTTGGTTCTGGGAGATGGGAAATGATCTCCAGTTGGAGAGAATGAAGGAAAGCTCACCAGCCAGATAGGAACTTCATGCAGGCCATGTCAGAGGTCAATTATCCCTGCATTAAGCTGTTATGGTTAGCAAGCAGGATCTGCAACAAAATCAGGATACTCAGGATTCTAGGCACTCCTTCCCAGCTCCCCAATTCTGTCCCCCAGTAATTCAGCCAAAAGCAGCCCAGCAAAAATCAAGCATGGGCATAGAATTATTTTACTTTTTACTTTTTCCCTTCCCCTAACAAAGGGAGACTTCTGCAAATCTTGGGAACTTCTGCTGATATCTTCTTCTTGTGATCATGTAATTCTGTTTGGGCTTCAAAATGGAGGGAATGATGCCTGTAACTGCTGTCCTCATGAGTTGCATCATCACACAGAAGCGAGTCCTACAGCTGCCAGCACATCCCCAGACAGCAGGTGTGTCCATCTAAACATGCATAGCAATGTGCTTTTACTCCTCTTAAATGGAAATACCAGGGCTTGGATCTGAGAAATTATCCTTCCAAATTCTGTGCTGTTACCACACTACCCTTCAGCGTTTCCCTTGTCCTGAACCACATGTTTGATTTAATGTATAAAGGAAATGAAAAGATTTCTTCATATCTGTGTAACCAGGGGAATTTGTGCTCCACACAAAATCAAATTCTGTACTGATGCACAGAATGATAATTGTCAAAAAGAAAAACAAATAAATCACACCCAGGAAAATCCCTACATCCCTTCCTCACTTTGCATATTGTTATGCTTTTTTGCTAATCGGTGGCAGAGGAAAAGAATCGATGTGGAGCCCTAAACCCGCATCTTGTCCTGATGGCCATCAATCTTGTTTGAGACTGTGATTTTTCTGCATTTCAGGCAGTGTTTTCCAAGGTTCAGTTCAGCACCCTACATCACATTCTGCACTGGGTGCTATTGCGCTGGACCTGCCCAGAAGGGCCATTCCTCTTCCACAGGTGCGTCAGGAAGGCGAGAAGCTGCATCAGCTGCAATTGAAGCGGGTCTTCCGATGCCGGATGAGTTGAAGGCTCTGGTTGAAGCTTTTCCCACAGTCCGAGCACTTGTAAGGCTTCTCTCCTGTGTGGATTCGCTGATGCCTTATCAGGTTTGTGGCCTGGTTGAACCTTTCCCCACAGTATGAGCATCCGTAGGGCTTTTCCCCCGTGTGTGTTCTCCAGTGCCTCTTCAAGTTCGAGTTGTAGCTGAAGCTCTTCCCGCACATGTTGCAAATTTTTCTGCTTTTGGCCTTCCAGGCCCGTGGTGGGTCTGCGATTCTGCGGCTCTCGCTGCCTCGGGAGGAGGCGGATCCCTCCTGCACCCGCTCTGCACCTTTTGCCTCGGGGAAATTCAGTCCCCCTTGGCTCGTGAGATTTACGATCCGCTCTCCTGGCTTTACTCTTTCTGATGACACCGTTTCCGCCACATCTGCAGTGCCTGGAATAAAAAAGAAAAGAATGAGCTAGTCCCTGGAGTGAAGCCGCCTGGCACCTGGCACGGTGACTGGGATTCAACCCATTTTGAAAGGGGTCGCGTTCCCCAGCTTGGGAGCGCTGCTGGATCCTGCCCCAATGGCAGGCCACCTTTCTGGATCCACAGACACATGCAACCGTTCTTTTGGGGATGTGGTCACATGTGGACACGCTTTTCAGAGCAGGTGTCCTGTGCTTTCTGGACTCAGTTCAAGGTGCTAGTTTTAACTTTTAGAGCCCAACACAGAAGAGGGCCTCGCTTTCTAAGGGACCCCTGCCTCTTTATAAACCTGCCTGTGTACCAAGATTTGCAGGGGAGGTTCTTTTGAGTGTCACATCTGTTTGTCGGGCGTGAATGAAAGGCGGTTTGGGGCATTTCCTCCAAATGATAGAATGCTCTCTCTCCTCAAGAATTCCAACTGGCCCCCAAGTCTCTTGTTTTTTTAGAAAGGGCTTTTAGAAACACACAAGTCCTCAATCTGGCCTTTAAAAAACGTGTTGCTTTACTGTTTTGATTTTGTTTCCTGTTTTTCATGCTCCTGTTCTGCTTGAGCTTTCTGCTTCACGGATTTCTCCGACCCCCCTTTAAAGTCGTCCAAATGGGTGGCCATCACTACTTCTTGTGGAAGTGAATTTTGTAGTTTCATCAGGGATGTGCAAAGAAATCTTTCCCAAATCACTCACCAATTGGCTTCATGGGACGAACCCTCTCCTCTCTCGCTTTGCTCACCTCTTCTCTGAGCTTCTCAGTCTTGGATTATATTAGTCAATAAGCTCCTTCTCCAAGACACTGTAAGCTTTCCTCACAGGGGAATTTCTGCAGCCCTGTGATAATTTCACCTGCTGTTTTCTGCACCTTTTCCAGCTCCACCGTATCCTTTTTCAGTTGCAGCAGCCAGAAATGTACACTATGTTCTAAGTGGTTTCTACTGCACAGATGTATATGAAGACATTAGAGTGGCAGATTTATTTCAATTCTGCAGGTGACCTCGAGCCAAGCACACACAAATGTTTTATCCGTGTAACATCCCTCGTAGGCGTGTTGTGAGAGTAAAACATTTGTGGGAGGGAACAGAGAGATCCGTAATTGTGGTTTTCCACTGCTTGGAGGAAAGGCGGGATAAATACAGGACAAGAAAGCAAATACGATGAAAGGGTTTCATGAGGAGGGCTAGAGGTCTTACCCAGAGAATTACCAACAGCTCCTTTTCCCTCTGGTTTGATTTCCCCGCCTGGATTCTTCTGCAGACGTTCGGAAGGAAGCCCTTCACCGGCAGGGAAATTCACTGTCACGATGTGGAAAATCACAGGCACCTGAAGAACAAAAAGCCGAGTCCAGAGGTCATTTAATTATTATGTTTATATAATAAAATATATAAACGAGGGTGGACAATCTAGTGCAGCATTTTGCACACACCATGGCCAGCCAGCTGCCCAGAGCAGGATGCAAGAGCACCCTCCCACCCATGCTCCCCAGCAACTGGTGTACACAGGCCTGCTGCCTCTGATTCTGCTGGTAGCCCATGGTCATGAGGACTAGCACCTGTTGCTTATTTAAGAGCATCTTCTGTTCCCACACTGGGCAAGCAGCTGCCCACAGGAAACCCGCAGGACGACAGCACCCTCCTGCCCATGTTCCCCAGCAACAGGTGGACCCAGGTAGGGATGAGAGAGGAATCCATCTGGGGATGGGAGTTCCTTAGATTCTCCGGGCTCGGCTCCCTGGACGCCAGTCCAACTGCAGCAGCCCAGAGTCCCTGGTTAGCGTGCCCAGCGTTCGCGGGATGCTTGCTAAGAATCACATGCCCCACGCGGCACAGCCGCACCCCCTTCCCCCAGAGGGGCGACTGGCACTCTGCTTGCAGCTCCCCACCTCCACTTCCAGCAGCCACTTCTGACCGGGGGGCGGGGGGCTGCCCCAACCAGTTGTGGATTTACTCAGCTCACTCTGCAGGCCAGGCCAGGCGTGAGAGGAAGCCTACAGATGCCAGAAGAACACTCTCTGAAAGGATTCGTCCAAACCCTGCACCTAGACCTCTGATACGGGGAAGTCTCCATCACCTGAAGCATCCCAGAGTCCATGAGGGAGCTTTCCCAATGTACCATTGCTACCAGGCTTGCCCTCTATGGGAGCACCCCAATACAGAGTGTAATACAAGGATAATGCAGCCATTAGACTTCCTGTTTTTGCAGGGAGGGAGGGAGACAGGGCGACATTAGAGGAATGGGCTTTGTGTGAACGGTTGTTGACAAGTCAACATAATCCCGGCTTGAGGCCAAATGAGAGGACTGAAGGCACCTATTATTATTATTATTATTATTATTATTATTATTATTATTATTATAACATTTCTATGCCGCCCCTTGCCGAAACCTCGGGGCGGCTTACAACATGATAAAATACATTGAAATACAATAGTACATAATAAATTACTATTAAATATAAAAATACAAAAAATACATTGATTTACAAATACGAAATTAAAATTATCAGTATAAAATAAAAATATAGGAGGAGAAAGAGAAGGAAGAAGAAGTTGCCCAGGCCAGATCATATGTTTTAACAATTGAAATGATGTTTAAATAAAAAGGTCTTTACCTGGCGCCGAAAAACCAGTAACGACCTAGAACCGGTTTTGAATCTGAATAAAAGTACCAAAGTGTATTATGAACCGCAGTAAATGCAAAAGCTTGGGTGCATGATGTTTATTGTTATTTTTAGTTGTAATTTTAGTTACAGTTTTAGTTGTAATTTAGTTTTAATTGTTTATTATCAGTTAAGTTGTAGATGCTAGTATTATTGATCTATTTTGATATGTATTGTATCTCAACTGTATGGATTTATGTTCTGTAAAAAAAAATACGGGGTTAAAAAACAAGTAAATGCAAAAGCATCAGAATGGTATGAATTACCAAGAGATAATCAGTGGACATGAGGGGTAGGAAGTCTTTGGGAAAAGAAAAGATTCTTTAAGCAAAGCGCCTGGAGTGGGGAGACTTACTGATGTATCAAACATGTACCAGGAATGCTGGCTTCTGACGTAGGGCATATAATGCATGCTTTTGGCAAATTATTGAGACGCTGCTTTTTCTACAGTGCACTAGAACAGAGCTTGTTTGGCTCATAGTCTTGTCACTGGACATTATCTGGCTCGGTTCTGGGGCCCACTCGGGCTGACTGCCCCTGTTCTCCAACTGTTTTTCAGTAACACCACGAACAGGAAAGCTTCCCCTACCGGCCTCACCTGCCTCTCGGCTTCCAGTCGCTTCAGCAAGAAATCCTCCGCCAGGGCCACGGCCTGGGAGCAGGTCTCGGGACAGCTTCCCTTCACCCAGCTCTGCGTCTCCGGGGGCAGGATGGCCAGGAACTGCTCCAGGATCAGCAGGTCCAGGATCTGCTCCTTGCTGCGCCGCTCCGGCTTCAGCCACTGGCGGCAGAGGTACCAGAGGCGGCTGCAGGCCTCGCGGGGGCCCTCGGCCTCCTGGTAGCGGAACCGCCGGAAGCGCTGCCGCTGCCGCTCTGTGCTCTCCTCCTGCTCAGCCGTCTCCTCCACCTTTTCAGAGCCGCCCTGCTCTCCTCCATCCTCGTGCGTCTTTCTCCACAGCCCAGGCGAGGGGGTGGTCCCCTTCCCTTCAGCCGGCCGCTTTCTGGCTCCCTCCGTCGGGGGTAGGAAGACCTGAGTATCGCCTCGCGGCACCGTCTCAAACACTGGAGGATTTCCCCAGCCAGGGTGGGACGACTGCACTGTCTTGAGGAACTCCTGCCACTGGGCCTCCCAGTGCTCCGATAAGCCCCTCTCGGGATCCTGTTTCTTCTGCTGCGTCGGCCATTTTAGATACTCCCCGATGGTCCCCACCTGGACGACACGAGGGGCATCGCCTGCTCTCACCGCTCCCTCTGCCACATGGGATCCCGCTGACTCCGGCTCCTCCATTTTGATTGCCGTCTTCACGCCTGGTTCTAGTGTAGGCCGAGGCACCTGACCCAGGGCAGACGCGTCCCCCTGCTTCCCAGCCATTTCCTCTCCAAGGGGACTTCTTTTTTGACAAAGCAGGAAGGGTTCGGGCAAGCAGTTTTAGGCAAATTTTGGCACAAGTCTGTCCTAGAGGATCAGTGGAGCTTGCTTAGCAACTCATCTCTCTAGGGGAACTTGGGCAGTGCACAAAGCAATTGTCTTTTCCCATCCTTCAAGAAACATTTCTCTCTGCAAGGAAAGAAAGACAAACTTGTGTAAGAGCCTTGGACCAAAGGGACCTGAGGGGCCACATTTCCTCATAGGATCTGGCTGGTACATCGAGAAGTTAGGAACTTTCTGTCCGTCCTGCTAATATCTAACATGTGCTTTTTTTGGGTCCAGCATTAGGGTCTTCCCTGCAGTTCTGTGGAATTGCACCGTGTTTCCATTCCATCAGCCTCCCGTTCTGCTTTTTCTCTGGTGCGATTTAGCTGAGCTTTTGTAATGATGAAGCTGCTTGTAGTTTTAATCCCGTGGCTGATTTTTTTAAAAAGTTGCTACCTCTCATGGTGAACGCGGGAGGTGAGAGGGCCAACAGAATAGGAGACAAAATTGGGCCACTGAAAAACAAGTGGGAGGTGATATTTTAAAGACAAACACCGAAATAGGAAAAACAAAGAAATTAAAAAGAAAAAAAAACAGTCCAATGAGACCTGAAGATGTTCAGTAGCCACAAATCAGTAAAAAGCAAAAACGGACACGGAATGGGAAGAGTGGTGTGAAACCCTGAGCTGAAACATTTCTGTTTGGAAGAAGGATATGCAGCAATAATTGGTTGGAGGTGTCACTCGTACATAAAGATGAGAAAGGAAGCAGGGTGTTCTAACAGATGAGCTCCATTTTTCCTTTTCCTACCCCATCATCTTTTCCTTGTATGTCATGACTTTGGTGAGACTAAGCCTGTGGGCAGACAGTTTCTATAAGTTGCACGTAAGCTGCCTTTTAGGTTGAGGCATAGGATAAAACACTTTAAACAAACTGGATCTCCCTGTATTTCTCCATTAGTAACCACTGATAAATCAGATAATCTCTTATGTGGCTGCTTAAAGAAGAAATATACTTAACTGAGCCAGTCACATCAAGTCCTAAGCTGATCTCAAAGGGATCTAAAAATAATTTAGTTTTGGCCAAATTGTGTCTAAAGCGCTGGGTGCATCTGAAACATATACACACAGGAATTTCCACTAAATTGGCACCTGGGTGTATCCTGTCTAATCTGTATATGTTAACAGATTATATAATTAATTGAAGTTATGTAAGTCTCAGTAAAAAGCTGATATAGGTTACTGAGCACTGGACATGTAGGGCATAAAAAGAGCCCTTCTGGATCAGACTCAGGGTGCATCCAGGATTGTGTTCACACATTACCCAGCTGATCCAGTGGGAACTCCCCTCCCCAAGCAAGACATGAGGGCAACCGCAACCCCTGACCCATGTTGCCCAGCAACTGGTGTACCTGGGCCTCTGTCACTGGAGGTGGCAGATCCATGAGAACTAGTTTTATTTTTTTATTTATTTTTCGATTTATATCCTGCCTTTTTCCTACAAAGGGCTCAAGGCAGCTTACATCATCTCTCCTCCTCTCATCTCATCCCCACAACAACAACCCTGTGGGGTAGGTTGGGCTGAGAGTCTGTGACTGGCCCAAAGTCACCCAGTTGGCTCCATGGCTGAGCGGGGACTAGAACCCGGATCGCCTGAGTCCCAGGCCCTTGCTCTTAACCACTACACCACACTGGCTCTCTTAATTGCCTGCATGAATTTGTCTCAGCCCCTTTTAAAGCCATCCGTATTGGTGCCCCTCACAACATCACGTGGCACTGAGTTCCACAGATTAATTCTGCTCTGCCTGAAAAAGCCCTTCCTACTCCTGATGCATTGGGAAGGTGGTGCTGGAGGAGAAAGACAAAAAGCGGGGCATTGATTACATTGGACCAGGATTTTCCCTGGAAGCAAAAATGACAAAACGGAAGCTGTAACACTTGGGGCGTGTCTATTAGGCTGGACATGCACATGGTGGGCGTGTCGTGAGTGGAGCCGGCTGGAGCCGGGGGTCAGACTAGATGGCCCGGGAGACCCCTTCTGACTCGCTCTGTTTCTATGTTTCTGTGAGAAGGCGAGACTTCCTGGAGAAGACCATCAAGCTGAGGAAAGTCAGAGGCAGAAGACAAAAGGGAAGACCAAAGAGGAGATGGGTGGACTCCACAAAGGAAGCCGCTGCCTGGAATTTAGAAGAGCTGAGCAGGGCTGCCATGCATGGAAAGGCCGTTTGCAGGGCTTTCTTTCGTGGGGTCACCATAAGTCAGAGTCGACTTGCCAGTTCATCACAGCAACAAACTCTCGGTCCTGAATCTCCCACTATTCATCTTGATGGGATGATCCCTTTTGAGTTCCAGAACGATGAGAGAGGGAGCAAAATACTTCCCCATCGGGCATAATTCTGTACACCTTTCTCATGTCTCACCTTCTCTTTTTCTAAACTAAATCATTACAGCTGTTGAAATCTTTTCCTTCTAGGGAGCTGCTCCAGCCCATTCATCATTTTTGTTACCTTTCCTGCACCTTTCCCTTTTTAAATCTAGCGACTCCCTCCCTCCCTCCCTCCCTCTCATCCGTTTCAGAGAACACAGCAAGCACTTCAAACGGATCTTCATATCCATAAGGACTAGCGCCTCCCCCCCCCCCCCAACGCGTTTTCTCAAGGTACTTATCCCTCCCTGCACTTGGGTTCGTGTTACAACACGGACTGCACACAGACACACACCCCTGCTGGATGCTGCCCGCGGGGCTTGCGCAACCCTCACAAGGACGAGCTCTTTAGCGGATGCCCCCATTTGCCCTCCAACAAGCACCCAGATTTCCTTCCACGCCCCCCCACGCACCGCGCCCCCCCCCCCGGGACTTACTGCTGCTTCCCACGCACCAGCCCCCCGTCCGGCGCCTCCGCAAGCCCCACGTTTCCCGGGGGCGGCACAGGAAGAAGCGGCTCGCTGTTGGGGGCCCCCTCCAGGCACGCCCCCGCCCACATTTTGGATCTCCGCTTTCTCTTCCTTTCTAGGAGCCTGAGCTCGGTGCCTCCCGGCCGCGCTCGCCCTCCCCTCTCTGGTCCCGCCATGGTTAAGGCCACGGAGGTCTCCTTCCTAGAGAGGAGGGAGCGAGCCGGTGGGGAGGGGGCGTCCATGCCGAATGCGGGTGTTGGTAGCGCAGGCGCACTCGCGCGGCCAGGCTTTGCATTTATTCCGCAGGGCGATGGCATTGGGCGCGGGTGATTTCAGGGTGCGGGAGTGGGGCAAGGAGGCGCTTCTTCGGAGAGGCTGCAATCTGGGGAATGGGTGGTCAGAGAGAAATTAATGCATCACCCAGTTTTTGACCCCCCCCCCCGCCACGTGCCTAACTACAAATGTTCCTAACAACAAATAGCAACTTTCTTACAGCATTGCGGAGATAGGCTAGGGGAAGGCCTGACATCAGTCTAAATTTATGCCGGGCGTGGGGGGGGGGCGGGTTACCCAAAAGTGATGGGCACCACTTAATTGGTTTCCAGGCCCTCTAAAGACAGCACTGTCAGATGCTTCTTTCTTTTTAAACATGGTTTTTTTGCTAAAAAGTGGGTGTACCAGAGCCTTGGGTTTAGAAGAGCTGAGCAGGGCTGCCATGGATCTGCCAAATACAGGGCTGTATTTTAGAGAGCTTTTCTGCATAGGGTCTCCATAAGTCGGAGGCAACTTGATGCACATAACAAGAAGAACAACATTTCTATTGTATTTTATGCACTGCTCTAAACCACCCAGAAAGCTTCAGCTATTGGACAGCATCGAGATGATGATGATGATGATGATGATGATGAAAAAGAAGATCTTTCTATGCCTCTTCCTCCTTCCCTTTCACTCCAAAGGGCCACACTTGAGACAGCTAAGAAGAATGCAGAGGTATCTCCACTTTTCTCCTTCTATATGTTGGATACCCATAAGCCCCTGAGTTTCACAGGCATCCCCTTGTATTAAACCATTATTAAATCATTAAACATCACTCTAGTAGTCACCAGAGCATCTGGGAGACCTTGGTTCAAATCCTCCAATATTGCCATGAAGTTTACTGGGTGGCTTTGGACCCACTTAGCAGCGCTCAGTCAAACCTACTTTGCCGGATAAAATGGTGGAGAAGAGAACATGAGCATTACCCCACGTTCCTTGGAGAAAGGCTGGAATATGAATGTAGTAAATATACTCTGTACTTCTAATTAAAAGTGTATTGGAATTGTTTGCTTTAATGCTTTATTATTTATATGCCATATTTGCAAAAACAAAGCCACCAAGGAAGTGTTAGAACTGAAACCCATTCATAAATGTCATTACTATCTTACACTTCAGTAACGGATGGAGCACCTCGCCCGACCTGACTCTGCCTGTGTAAACCACCTGTGGGGGAAGCTCAGAGACAGCCACAAGGGGGAGGACTGCTCAGTGGTGGCCCCCAATTATGGAATGATCTCCCCACTGAGGCCTGCCGGGGGCCAACCCTGTCATTTTTTGACAGCAGGTTAAGACTGCCCTCCTCTGTCAGGTTTTTATTAGCATTTAAGCATATTTAATGACAGGATGAGGCATTTATCTCAGCTGATTTTAACAGGTCTAGTTAAAATGGTTTCAGCTGATAAATTATTTTTAATATTTTGTATATTGGAAAGATGCCATGTTGTATTTTGTTGTGCTTGTGGTCCATGATTTTGTGAATTGTTCTGCACTGCCCAGAGAGTGATAATCATCCATGGACTCTTCCACAGCTGTCTTCATTTTAGAGTAACAAAATGTATTGGAAAATACATCTTTCCAGAGAGTTTCTGACAATATGAGAGCTGGACCTGTGGAATAACCCCCATTTTAAGGGCAGCAGGCAAAGCTGGTGATTCATGTTTATTAATAATAACAAAATTATCATATTTACATCACACCTTTTTCTCTAGGGAATCCTGGTACCTTCTGCCATGCCATCCATGGGCATGTCCAGCCTATCCTTGAACCCCCGCACCGATGGGGCCTCAACCACCTCCCGGGGAAGCCCGTTCCACCCCCTGGGGGTCCCGACTGTCAGGAAGTGCTTCCTGGCATCCAAGCTGAAGCTTGGTTCCCTGAGCTTGGCTAGTTGCAACAATCAAGAATTTCCCTTCTTGTAACTAAACCTGGATCTTGCATATCATTTCCTTGGAATCTCAAAGAACTCAACTCACTGCAGGGGGTTAACAAGGGCGTTACAACATCGAGTCTGTGGCTGGCTCAAAGTCACCCAGGCTGAGCAGGGACTTGACCCCAGATTGCCTGAGTCCCAGTCCCACACTCTTAACCTCTACACCAGCCTGGCTCATACTTAAGGGGGCCACACTGGTATGCAGAGAATCAGATGCACCATGGATTGTTCTCGCAGCCAAAGTTTCCCTTCGTCCTCCAGGTGGGACGCCTCATGGCAGAACCTGCCTCGTCCCTGTGTTCCAGTTTTTATGGTTACCGCTGTTTGCTCACTGCTCCTGCTTTCCCTGGAACATCAAAAATTGCAATCATAGCTGAGTTTTTTCCAGCCCCTTAAAATGGTGCAATTCTGCTAGTGTCGTCGTCGGTCTTTTGCAAGGAACACATTTCTGGCTCTCCAGCAATGCATCCATAAGCAGTGGATGAGATAATATACCGTTGGATTACATCAATTCAGGGTATGTGTGTCCCATGGTGAAATGTTTGTCCACTAACAAGGTTTAGCAATCTGATGATCCTCAAGTCTTTTGGACTACAACTCCCACAACCCTTGACCATTGCAGCTGGGGATGATGGGGGCTGTCATCTGAAACACTGGGGGAAGGGGCTCCAGGTTGCTTACTCTGCCATGGAAATCCAGACACCCCTAAGAAAGATTCAAGGCTAGCCTTTTCCCCAGCGGCTTTTGATGTGCAAGAGAAGGTTTTGTACACAGTAGAATTCAGGAATTAGACACACCCCCTCCTGCTACACACCCCTTCAAACTTCTTCATACCTTTGCAACCTGAACTACAGCAATCCCTAGCAGAGCCAGCATCTCCGAGCAAGGCATTCGGTTCTTTAACAGTTAAAACAACAGCAGATCAGAGATTCCTAGAGCAGAAGGGAAAATGGCAAAGAGGGGAATGCCTTTTCCTGTCCCGCCCCACTGGGAAAGGCGAAAAGGGGCGCATGAGAAGTCTTCTCTCTCTCTCTCTCTCTTTCCCTCTCCCTCTCCTGGACGGGTTGTTGCTGCTGCAGTGAGTGACGGGTAAGTGGAAAAGGGGGCACAATGTGGGTCAAGGTAGGGATGTGATTTCATGGGGCAGAAAAGTGGGGTGCCTCCCATAGAATCTCAGAAATGCGCCCCAGGTTAGGGGGTGCCAGTTACATCAGGAGTTCCTAACCTGGTGCTGTTCAGGAGGAAAGCCGGGCTATGTTAAATTTTTGCAAGCAAAGAGTTCTTTGCAGGTAAAAAGATGCTTTCATCCTCCATCCATTTCCTTCTCCCCTCTGATGCCAGGTGAGTATCTTTGGTCATTCTTGGCGGAATCACAGAGGTGTCTTTCGATTCCCTCCAAAATCAGGCCTTCCTTCTCCGAGCAGATTCTGCAGTTGCAAAAGGAATAAAAACGCGACAACACGAACAATGCCGAAGAATTTCCAGAAGAGTTAGTCTGTTGCTAGTAAAAGCAGCAGAGAACCTCACAGCACCTCAAAGGCCAAACACATCTAGGGAGTAACCCCCTGCATTTTTGGAAAGGAAGACCGAACAGCAGAAGACGGACTAAATCCCTAAAGGAAGCCACAGCCTTGAGCTTAGAAGAGCTAAGCGAGGCTGTCAAGGATACGACATTGTGGAGTCAGAGTCCCCATAAGTCCATATATGCCCTCCTGCCCCTTGAGATCAGCAACAGATGCCCTTCTCAGGGAACCCTCCATGAAAGATATTAGGAGACGGAGTACCCGGAGGAGGGCCTTCTCTGCGGTGGCTCCCCGACTGTGGAATGCGCTCCCCAGAGAGGTCCGCCTGGCGCCGTCGTTGATTTGCTTTTCGGCGCCAGGCCAAGACCTTTTTATTGAAACGTTATTTTAATTGATTGTTAATTTATTTATTGGTTTTATTTATTGCCTGGATGTATCCAATTTTTATATTTTTGTATTGTTATTTATTTGTTGAAAGCCGCCCCGAGGCTTATGCGAATGGGGCGGCATACAAGTTTCCCCAAATAAATAAATAAATAAATAAGTCAGAGTCCTCCTTGATGGCACATCACAACAATGGTTGCACGTTGTGCAGAAAAAGATCTTACAACCGCAAAAAGCTTGTAGAGCTTCGCCGGCATCTAAACACTCACAGGACTGCATCCTTATTCTGGCATGAATTTATTTATTTATTTTTATTTATTTTTCGATTTATATCCTGCCTTTTTTCCTACAAAGGGCTCAAGGCCGCTTACATCATTCTCCTCCTCCATCTTAACCCCACAACAACAACCCTGTGAGGCAGGTTGGGCTGAGAGTCTGTGACTGGCCCAAAGTCTCCCATTTGGCTCCATGGTATGAACAAGGGATAAAACCCAGATGCCTTGAGTCCCAGGTCAGGACCCTTAACCACTATACTGGACTGTCTCTCACTTATAATGCAATATTCAGCATTCACCGGCTTCTTTAGTAAACAGCTTCATTGAGATCCTATCAGTGTGCTTTTTTCCCCCCTCCGATTTATATCCTGCCTTTTTCCTACAAAGGGCTCAAGGCAGCTTACATCATTCCCCTCCTCCATCTTATCCCCACAACAACAACCCTGTGAGGTAGGTTGGGCTGAGAGTCTGTGACTGGCCCAGAGTCACCCAGTTGGCTCCTGGCCGAGCGGGGACTCGAACCCGGATCGCCTGAGTCCCAGTCCCATGCTCTTCACCACGACACCACACTGACATGGATGCTGCCCCTTTTCAGATGCAGCTGAATAGCAGATTTCTGAGCAAGAGGGGCGGACATAGAAATATAAACGGTGCTGCCAGAAGAGTCTGAATGCAAAATGTTACGGGCAGCAAGTTGCTAGTCTTTATTTGCGTTACAAGAATAGCGTATGGTAAAAGGCAACAAGCTGCACAAGGACAGGCAGGCAGGCAGGCAGACATATTTAAAATATTATATTTATTTATTTAGATTTATCTCCCTCGCCGTTAGCCAGAAAAGCTCTCTTTCTACTCGAGTAGAGTTTGGGTAATTCCTCAAACCTATGGAACGTGCTCCCTGGAGAGGTCCGCCTGGCGCCGTCCTTATTTGTTTTTCGGCGCCAGGCCAAGACCTTTTTATTTAAACGCTATTTTAACTGTTAATGGTCTATTTGTTGGTTTAAATTGGCCAGGCTGGATCCACTATTTTATTTCATTTCATTTTATTTTTTCGATTTTATTTATTTGATGAACTTTTTGTATTTTATAAGGTATTTTATATGGGATTTTAATGATTGTAAGCCGCCCCGAGGCTCATGCGATGCGGCAGCATGTAAGTTGTTTAAATAAATAAATAATGCCAGTAGCTTCTACAAAGGTATTAAGCAGAGAAAGCAAAACTGTGGCCCTTGAGATTTTCATTCATTAATTCATTTATGATATTTGTATGCCGGTTAAATGTAATAAAATCACTAAGTGGTGCTCAGGCAAAACTGTGATCACACTGAAGGCCAGGGTGGAGTGGTGGTGAAGAGTGTGGGATTTGGGCTCAGGGGATCCGGGTTCAAGTCCCTGCTCAGCCATGGAGCAAACTGGGTGACTTTGGGCCAGTCACAGACCCTCAGCCCAACCTACCTCACAGGGTTGTTGTTGTGGGGAGAAGATTGAGAGCAGCAAGAGGAAATTGGCTTTTTATTGCTTTGCAATAAAAAGGTGGGATATAAATCGAATAAATGAATAAGTTTAAAATGCAATCAAAATACAGTGTTAAAATGATATTGGATCTAAGAATACAGAGCAATACATGAGCAATTTGAAAACGGAGCAGTGTGATGACTTTAATTATCAGCCGAGGGGGAGCAGGTGGGTTTGCATGCTAGTGACCTCCAGTCCTCCCCAGCCTGGTGTCCTCCAAGTGTTTTGAAGTTCAGCTCCCTTAAGCTCCCCGCACCCAAAGCCAGCATGGGCAACGGTGAGGAATGCTTGGAACTGTTGCCCAAAGACAGCCTGGGATTTCAGCAGCTGTCAGACAGATTTGTGCATTTCTTCATATCCATGAGGACCAGTAACTTAAATAAGTAAATGCTCAGATTTTTAGGAATCATTTTTCTATCCCCAGTAGCATATCCTGCTCCCTGCCCCTGTCAACATTTCTCCTTGTGGGCTATTCCTACTGATGCAGAAGGATCGGAAATGAACTGAAATTAAATTATAGTAAATGGGAAGAAATGTGGCAACCCTAATTATGCAGTAGAGGGATGGGGGAAAGGCCCAGTGTTTTGGATTCCAGCATGGGTTGGGAGTCTTCTGAATGCTCCTACCAGTGATGATAAAAACCCAGATCTTCTAGATCACCTTTCACCAAGCCCCCCCCGCACCTTTCTCTCTCTCCTTCCACCAATCCAATGCTCTAGTATTATTTCTGCACTGCATCTATTTCCTGTCTTTTTTCCCTCTTGTGAAGAACCAGAGTGGCCTACATAGCTCCCTTTTATCCTGACAACAACAACCCTGTAATGTAGGCTGGGCTTACAGGCCCAAAGTCATCCAGTGAGCGTCATGGCTGACTGAGGACTTGAACCCGGGTCTCCTGGGTCCCCACTTCAACACGTGAGGTAGCACACCACACCGGCCGTCTGTGCCAAGATGGGGGCAAACTGCCAGCCTCCAGATCTTGTGCAGACTCCAATTCCCATCAGCCCCACCCCGTCTGGCCAATGCTCACATATGCTGGGGCTGCCTAGCCTGCCACAAGCTGCTGTTTTGGGCAACAGCTCCCAGCATCACTCACCACGGGCCATGCTGGTTTGGGTGGGGGGAGCTCATGGGAGTTGAACTCCAGAACACCTGGAGGACACCCGGTTGAGGAAGACTGGGATTTGCCAACAGGCAAACCCACTTGAACCCCCTCGGCCGAGAATTAAAGTTATCACACTGCTCTGCTTCCTTCTCCCAGAGCTTGGTGGAGTTTGAGGAGGTGGACAGATCTTGGATAAATGTTGTGACTGCACTTGGATTCTGGCCACCTTCTGTGAGAACAGACAGGATTGAGTCGGAAAAGGTGCCGAGAAGGACAACGGAAATGATCAGTGGGATGGAGCAGCTGCCCTGGAGAAGCAGGTACAACACCCGGGACTGTTCAGCTTAGCAAATAGGAGAGAAGGGGAGACACGATGGAGGTTTTTTAAGGTATTTATTTTATTTTATTTTATTTTATATTTTATTTTATTTTATTTTAATTTAATTTAATTTAATTTTAATTTATTTATTTATTATAGATAGATAGATAGATAGATAGATAGATAGATAGATAGATAGATAGAAAATTTCTATGCCGCCCCATTCATCGAAGCCTCAAGGCGGCTTACGAATAATGTCTGGCGTGGAGAAAGTGGAGAGAGGCTTTTTTGTTCCTCTCCCGTAACACTCGGTCCCAAAGGGGTCACCCCATGAAGCTGATGGGTGGCAGGTTTGGGACAGATAAAAGGACGTCCTTCACCACAGAGCATCCGCTTAAACTATGGAACGTGCTGCCACGGGAAGCGGTGATGGCCACCAGTCTGGGTGGCTTTAAGGAGGGAGTGGGGAGGCCATCTGGGGCTACTAGCCCTGCTGGCCGCATTCTCCCTCCTTTCCCAGGGATGGCGGCGCGCTCTAGTGGCTGAGGAGCTGGGCGGGCAGAGGCCTCGCACCCTCCTGCTGGGGGGAACCTGGGGGTTGGCCACCGTGGTGTGCAGAGCGCTGGACTGGACCAGCCTGGGGTCAAATTCAGCGGAGCTGTTCTCATGTTCCTCTCACAGTCTTGCAAGGTGGCCAGATCTCACTGAGGGGGGCGAGGCCAAAGAGGTCTCTATCCAGGAGCTCGTGCCAGAGACTCACAAGATGGTGACTTCTCCAGGTAAGGACTTTTGGCTGCTGCAGCATTTTTACTAAAATTCTGTTCTCAAATAACGATGCGCCGTATAACTCTGACGGAGCCAAGCTCAAGGAACCAAGCTTCGATTTGGATGCCAGGAAGTACTTCCTGACAGTCAGGACCCTGAGGGTGTGGAATGGGCTTCCATGAGAGGTCGTTGAGGCCCCATCGGTGAGGGTGTTCAAGGATAGGCTGGACATGCACATGGTGGGCATGTCGTGAGTGGAGCCGGCTGGAGCCGGGGGTCAGACTAGATGGCCCGGGAGATCCCTTCTGACTCGCTCTGTTTCTATATTCCCCCAAATGGCCCCATTATGTAAACAGGGCAGGCGGGATTAAAAGGAAGAGGCTGCTGCTGCAGGTCCTGGCCAGGGAGACACCTGATGGTCAGGTGTAGTAGGCACGAAGCCTGGAAGGGGCTTAGCCTCCCCCCAATCTGCCCCCCCCCCCGAAAAGACCTGCCTAGTCCAATAGGTGACAACCAGACCATTTCTTGCAAAGCAGAATCCTCCCGCCAGGCACTCCCCCGGTTTTTTTGCTCCTATTGTTCAATCAGCAGTTTTTCCTTTTGTACGAATGGGAATTTTCCTTCTTATTTATTTATTTATTTATTAAAACATTTCTATGCCGCCCCTTGCCAAGGCCTCGGGGCGGCTTACAACATTGAACATTGAAACTTCTTTTGGAGATGGCACTCTTTTTTCAAGATGCTCTACATCTCTCCCAAAGGCAGTGGGCCTGTGAAAGAGATCAAGGTGGAACTTATTCCAGAAGAAGTCCCAGTGTCGGAAAAAGAACAGAAGACTGTACTGGAAAGCAGCCAAGAGAGTATTTCTCACCCAACCGACACAGGTGCTGAGTGGAAGTGATCGGTGGTACTGCTGTGGTGGGGAAGGAACCGGGATTTCCCTTCTGATGGTTTTGTGGCAGGATTGAGGCCTGAATTCTGGAGAAACTCAAGCTTGGAGAAATCCAGTTTTTCTCTTCTGTGGTTCTCCTAATGAAAGGATTATCCCCAGATCTGGTACCAGGGGTTGGAAAGGCCAGACAGCTGCCAAGGCCCATGGGCTTGGCGTGGCCCATCTCGGCCAGCCTCTAAGAGCATCCACACAACACCCCAATCAGTTATCTAGCGAGGCCTCCCAGAGAGGTGGCCAGGGTCAAAAACCCTGGCTCAGAAAAGCCTTTCCTCTGAGCCAGGCATTGTGAGACCCAGAAAGGTGAGAATATTTACTACTAATAGTAAGATCTGCTTTGCTTCTCTTCCAAACGGAGCATGATGGTTCCACTTGTGCCCCTGGCAGTGGAGCCGTGATTCTAGTTACGACCACTTATTGTAGTTTATTTCTTCTTTCCACTTTGAGATCGCCCTGTAACCCAAGTCCTTTGGACAGTATACAAGTAACCCCCCTCCCACAGAATTGCTATAAATCCATATTAAAATATTGCAAGATAAAATGCACAAACTCACGTTAGGAATGGTGGTAAGGACAGTGCAGAGCATACTAATCAACATGAAAACGCCGGCCAAGAAGAGAGCCATGCAAGGATGTAAAAGCACCAAAATTGTGCTAAATGCCCTTATGGAAGAATCACTGACATTGCCAGAAAAACCAATTTGGAGCACAGGATGAAGGCTCCCACCTAAGTCTTCAAAAAATGGTAGCTGGCACGATGGGAAAGGAATCCCAGGCTGGGACGTTGTGGAAGTTAAGTGGCAGGAATGATTGACATCTCAGATGGCTTCCTGTCTCTGTTTTTAAGGGTATTTGAGTTCCAGACCTGATGTCATCTCCCGATTGGAAGAAGATGCAAAGTATCACTTTGTCCAGGGCATCACAGAAAATAGCAGGCCAGCAGGTAAATGATGACCTCTATGACGGGGCCTCTACCTTGGAATAAGCTGCTTTGCAGATCGCCTTATTTTCCCACATTTCTTTTCCCTTTACACACACAAAAACTGCGTCAGCCAGTTTTATCTTTTCTGGCTTCACCCCTTCAGGACCTTCCAGGAGCGTGGCTCTGAATTCCGCTCCAGAACTTGAAAGGGAAGGAGCCCTTAAGCTTCTTTCTTACATTTCTCTACCTCTCTCTTTCTGCTGGTGGGAATTCTGGGTCTGTAACCCCCCTGCTGGTTATCTCAAATTAGCGCTTTTCCATTTCTCCAGCTTAGAATTTTCTTTTGTCAATGAATGCGTGTGCTCCAAAATGCCGTCTTTGGCAGGCCTGCTCGGCTCTTGGAAACTCAGAGGCTGTGGCCTCCTTTATGGAGCAGACCCATCTCAGATTACCCACCTCGTATTAATTCCTTTTTGTTCGTATTACATGGGTCTCCCACCTTTCTTCCTCTTGCAAAGAACCCAAGGCAGCTTACAAAGATCTCCTACTATCCGTTTTCTCCCCATAACCACAACCCTGTGAGGTAGCCTTGGCTGAGTGTTTGACTGGACTAGCACCTTGATCTCCCAAGCCCCAGTCCAGCTCTCACCACTACACACCGGTGCCTTCCCCTTCTTCTTCTGCCTCCGATATTCCTAGCATTACAGTCCTCTCCAGTGAGTCTTGCCTTCTCATGATTATTATTATTATTATAACATTTCTATGCCGCCCCTTGCCGAAGCCTCGGGGCGGCTTACAACACAATAAAATACATTGAAATACAATAGAACATAATAAATTACCATTAAATACAAAAATACAAAAAATACATTGAGTTACAAACATAATAATATAAAATTAAAATTATCAGTATAAAGCAAGTAAATAAATAATATAGGAGGAGAAAAGAGAAGGAAGAAGAAGTTGCCCTGGCCAGATCATATATTTTAACAATTAAAATGATGTTTAAATAAAATGATGTGTCCAGAGTTTTTTTTTTTAATCTACCTTCCAAAAAATAAACATGTTTTTAAGATTCTCTTTCTGTACCTGTTTGCCCTTCCCTTACCTGAAGATGGTGGAAGAGTGAGAGAGACGGAAGTGGGACATTTTCAGCAGGAAATCTCTGCATCCAAAAAAGAGGACAAGGTGCTGCTCGGAACATGCCAGAATGTGCTCTTCCTAACGGCCGTGGGTGACCAGGGTGAGTGAGGATTGCGCGGACATCACGGGGAACCCCGAAGAATATTCAGGGAAACCAGCTCACGCGCCAAATGACACAGCAGTTGTGTCTGTACTTAAGCAACCTCCACGTTGCTGGATTTTGGTTTGGAGCAGGGAAATCAGGTGCAGTTGGTAGCTGCCATGATACTATACTTACTTGTTGTAAGCCGCCCCGAGGCTTCGGCGAATGGGGCGGCATAAAAATGTTTTAATAAATAAATAAATAAAATACCAAAAATTATGATGATGATGATGAAATCAACATTCAAGCCTGATTCTTCACCACCAGCCTTAAAAGGACCCAGTGAATGACTGGGTTTGCACAACCGGGCAACCCAATGTTGGTTGCCTACCACCAGGGGTGTGGTGTTGTGTGGGCCCAGACTGATTCCTGCAGTGTGTCAATGAGCCATCCTGATACACACGGGTTATTCTGTCTGTCAGATGACCCCTTCATGGGTAGCAGGAATTAACCAGTTTCTTGGGCACAAAAGCAAGCAGTACCTGAGAACAGCTGGGCCGCTGCCCTCACTGCAGTAATCGTGAGCCATTTTTCACTTTGGCCTCTTTTCCGAGATCCTAAAAGCTGGCTTGACACAGGGAGCTTTTGTGATCCCTGGTTTGGCAGCTGCTGACAGCTCCTTCAGAGTGCCCCAGTGGTGCCTTGGAGAGGCTGTCAGTGGCTGGGAGATCATTTAAAGCAAAAAAAATAAATAAAAAAATTAGCACACAGGAATGTGGGTTGGTCTTTATTTCTATATATTCGTGCATAGCCAAAATGCTGCACTCACATAACTACATACCTCTGAAGTTTTATTTATTTATTTATTGAGCATTTGTATGCCGCCCCTTCGCAAAAAGCCTTGGGGCGGCTTACAAGCAAATAAACAAATGTAGAATAAACCTTAAAAAACCCGGATACATCTCGGCAGAACTATAAAAACCAATAAATAAAGACAGAATTAACAGTTAAAATATCGTTTAAATAAAAAGGTCTTGAAGTGCAGCTAACTGCCCAGAAAGCGAACCTATTTGCACACATTTTGTACATGATGTGTATGAGGGCGACGAGGATGACCATGATGATGTGATTTAAATCGGTCTGCCATCGACGGGCCCTCCAGGTGCCGCTTGGGCACTTTGAAGGGGCTTTCAGTGGCTGTCCAAATGGGGGTCACGAGAGCCTGGGGTTGAGCTGGGTTTTCTGACTGCCAGGAAAAATAAAGAGGGAAACAGATCGCCATCCCAACAGGGAGGAGGAGACAAAACAGCCCTGCCACAGAGCACTCCGGGATGCCTGTTGGAAGGACCAAGGGGGAGGCAGGAGAGGAGAGGGCGAATAGCCCGGAGTGAGTGGGCAGAGCGAGGGCTGCTTGGCCGACTAGCGCCTCAACCCACTGCGGCTGGTTGCCGGGCTGCATTAGTACGATGTGCAAACACGCTCATTTGCTCGCTCCATTCCCAACATCCCACCCAGTCTTAAAACTGGCCCAGTCCTTCCTACGTCAGTCCTTGGCACGCTCAAGATGAGCTGGACTACAACCCCCGTTCTAGTTGAGGAGACCTGTAGGCCGACACGTCCAGGGGGGACTGTGCTCTGGTGTCTGAGCTGCCCAGAAATCCTGGCTGTTGGGCCTCCTGCTGGACCAGGCCCTGTGGCGAGACGCACGGCAGATTCTGCCCCGAGTTCTGTCCACCTGCTCCAGCACCGGCAAAAGGATAACAAAAATGTGCATTTCTGCAAGACTGCAGATTCTCATTTCTGTTTGTGATGTGTCAGTCCGCCCATTCCCTTGCAGCGCTTTCCTGTTAACAAATTATCAGAATTATAATCAAGAGGGCTTGGGCTTGGGCTTGGGCTTGGGCTTGGGCTTGGGCTTGCTTCATTCATTCATTCATTCATTCATTCATTCATTCATATAAAGCCCAATAGCCAAGGTTCTCTGGGTGGTTAGCAAAAATGAAATTTATTTTATTTTTATTTACGTATATTTATAGGCCGCCTATAATTGCCGAGGCCTTCCTAAATTAAACAAAGTTAAAAAGACATGTGCACAACAATTAAATTAAAAGAAAAAATCCATAATTGTAATTGCTCTTATTCAGCACAGAAGCATAGCAGCAGTTCAGAAATACAATGGGATATATAAAGTTAGATGGTTAAAAAGCCAGGAAAATAAAAAGGGTAGATAAATAACCCCTCCTTCCCCCAACAGATACCTGTCCATCCCGCACATCTGTCCCCTAACTCTAAGAAACAGCCAAATAGATGCTTCCCAAGCAGGGCATGGCCTTCTCATGGTTGTCCTGACAGTCAAAGATATACTGGCTTTCTATACAGAGGTCCCATTCTTAACTCTTATGGCTCTTGTCATGCAAGCACACCCTGACGTAATCAAATCCTCTGGAATAAAAGAACAGTCTTGCTAGTTCAGACTTCAGTTCCATCTAATATCTAATTTGTTTCCACTAGTGGCCAGTATGGTACCTCTAGGAAGTCCACAGTCAACTTTCAGCTGGCATGCAAGACTTTCCTCCCATCTGAGGATTCACACAGGGGACTCGATATACCAGTGCTTGGAATGTGGAAAGATCTTCAGTCAGCGTAACTCCTTCACTGCGCATCAAAGAACTCACACGGGGGAGAAACCATACAAATGCTTACTGTGTGGAAAGAGATTTGGTCAGAGACCACACCTTACTTTACATCAGAGAATCCACACTGGAGAGAAGCCATATCAGTGTTCAGCGTGTAGGAGGAGTTTTTCTCACAGACCACACCTTACTTCACATCAAAGAACCCACACAGGAGAAACACCCTATGAATGCTTGGAGTGTGGAAAAAGTTTCAGGAGGCGAGATACACTTACTTTGCATCAAAGAATCCACACAGGAGAGAAACCATATAAATGCTTAGAGTGTGGAAAGAGCTTCATTAGGAGAACAAGCTTTACTTTGCATCAAAGAATGCACACAGGTGAGAAACTGTATACATGCTTGGAATGTAGAAAAAGCTTCAGTCGGCGTTACTCCCTGACTTTGCATCAAAGAATTCACACCGGGGAGAAACCATATGCATGCTTGGAGTGTGGAAAGAGCTTCCGTCAGCGTGACTCCCTTACTTTGCATCAAAGAATTCACACAGGGGAGACGCCCTATAAATGTTTGGAATGTGGAAAGAGTTTCAGTTGTAATAAAACCTTAATTTCACATCAGATAATTCATACAGGGGAGAAACCATATAAATGCTTGGAGTGTGGAAAGAACTTTCTTTATAGCAGAAGCCTCACTTTGCACCAAAGGAAACATACAGGAGAGAAACCATATAAATGCTTGGAGTGTAGAAAGAGCTTTTATGACAATGGAACCCTTACTTCACATCAGAGGATCCACACAGGAGAGAAGCCATATACATGCTCCGAATGTGGAATGAGGTTTTCTCACAGTGGATCCCTTACTTTACACCGAAGAATTCACACAGGAGAGAAGCCATATACGTGTCCGGAGTGTGGCAAGAGCTTTTCTCAGAGCGGCTCTCTAACTTCTCATCGAAGAATCCACACAGGAGAGAAGCCGTATAAGTGCACAGAGTGTGGCAAGAGCTTCAGGTTCTGCAATTACCTAGTTTCCCACCATAAAATACACAGAGGAGAAAAACCATATAAATGCTTTGAGTGCGGAAAAAGTTTCATTGAGAGCCGTTATCTTATACGGCATCAGAATACCCATATGAAAGAGGATCACTATATATGCTTACCCTAACAATGAAGCTTTGCTCAGCACCGTTTCACACAATCCCCATGGATGGAGCCTGCAGAATAACTGGGAAACTTTGGTGCAACTCCAAAATTGTCCTCCGTTATGCAAGACCTCCCTGAAAAAGAATCAAAATTACGTAAATGTGCCATGCCGACTTCTTGCAATGCTTTTCCCATTTCAGAAAGTGCCACCTCCACCTGCAGCTCTAATACTTCATGGTCGGAGGGAAAGGAATAAGGCCTTTTCTGTGTTTGTACACCATGCTTAGATGCTCAGTCCCCAGGGTAGGATAGTAGTTGACAGTTTAATGCAGCGTTGAAGAGTAGGAGAATGATCTATGTTTGCCCCGCTTTCTGGGCTATTTGATATTGTCCCCAGCTTTTTAAATAGTTTAGTCAATTTCTTGAAGGGTGGGTGGTTTTTTAGGCCAAGTTTTGAACCTTTGCTTGTTTGGTGTTTGCTTTTCATGGATTGAAGACCGCTCGCCTTTTAATCCATTAGCTCCTTTGAGCCTCTTTTCTGGCATCCTTAAAAGCTATTGTCAAAACCATCGCTCAATAAATATGATCTAGACAAGGAGAAGCTGTTGACAAGTTGGAGGATCCCTCCAAGGCTTAAGCTTCTGGACATTGTGAATGCTACTGCGAAGCAAAGCTGTGTCCACACAGAAGGGAATGTAGGAAATTCCATGTGATGGGAATTCTGGGCCTCACCGTACAATCTGGGATCGCAGGTACGGGGCTTTGGGCTCCCTGGGTATTGCTGCTAGGTGAAAGGTGCTCTTCTCCATCCCTGCAGGCCAAATTGTGCCTGCACGGCCCCTGCCCCAACCCCCTTCCCCGACCTCTGATGGCCTCCTGCTTCCACGGCCTTTCTGCACTTTTTCCTCCCAACCCTAAAGGTAAACATGCCCCCTAAAGCTTATTGATCCAGAACATTAAGTATGCTGGTAGCTTGGACCCAACTTCTTGCTTTTGGCTCTGCTCAGCCCGGAAATGTGTGCCGGCCTGCAGAACTTTCTTGGAATTCGGTTCTGCTCTCCAGTCGCAAGACATTCAGCACTTCTGTGCAGAGGTTTCTAGCTGAGCCACCTCTCTGCCAAGCTCGTCCGCTGTGTGCAGAGAGGTCTTTGCAGGGGGGGACACTCAGCTGCAGCCTGAACTGGGGTGGCCCCGCAGCCCACGGTGTATTATTGATTATTAATTGTTATTTAAAATTAGTTATTTAGAACAGTGGTTCTCAACCTTTCCTTCAACAAGTACAGTGGTACCTCGGCTCACGAACTTATTTATTTATTTATTTATTTATTTATTTATTTATTTTTTTAATTTATATCCTGCCTTTTTCCTACAAAGGGCTCAAGGCAGCTTACATCCTCCTCCTCCTCCATCTTATCCCACAACAACAACCCTGTGAGGTAGGCTGGGCTGAGAGCCTGTGACTGGCCCAAAGTCACCCAGTTGGCTCCATGGCTGAGCGGGGACTAGAACCCGGATCACCTGAGTCCCAGTCCCATGCTCTTAACCGCTACGCCACACAGGACTCTGGCCGTGACCCAAATTGGTCATGAGCCAAGTTAAATTTCCCCATAAGGTTCAATGTAAATAAGGTTAATCCATTCTGTAACCATTTTTTAAATCAGAAAAATGTGAAGCAAAGTGACAACAACAGAGATCGCGGCCATCTTTCCCCGCACCCCGCACCCCGAGCACAAGCACGGCCATCTCCCCGCCCCCCCTCCCAGCATGTCTGAGATCGCACCCGTCATCCCAGCACACTGGGGGATGCGGGGGGAGAGACGGGCATGATCGCAGGCCCACTGTGGGGAGGGAGAGACGGGCGCAAACCGTGCGCTGGGGGTGGGGAGATGGCCGCGATCGCAGTTCTGTTCATGCAGGGAAGGTGTGCCTGATCAGAGGCATGCTCCTGCAGGAAAGACAGGCAGGGCAATCTCGGCCATCTCCCCCGCAGCTCTGCTGTGCTGCTCCCGTCTTTCCTGCAGCAGTGCGCCTCTGATCAGGCACGCCTTCCCCGCATGAAAGCAACTGGGATTGTGGCCACCTCCCCACTCTGGGGGGGAGGAGATGACTGCGATCTTGGTCGCCACCCAAAGCGGAGCTCGCGACTCAAGTCAAAATTTTTCAGAAATTTTTGTTCGTGACCTGATTTGTTCGTGAACCAAAGCGTTCGTGAGCCAAGGTACCACTGTATCCCCTTTAAATACCTCGTGTGACTGCGGACCACCAAGACTTAACTCAAGATTTGAAGCACTAGACTGCGTCAAATATTTATAAAGCCCGTTTATACCTGTGATTGTTTTTAATAAAGGCAATAGGTTAAAAAAGCTAAGTTTTACAAAACAAGCCTGGGAAATTCAGACTTTGTTCTAATTCCCATTCCCTCTTGGTTTCTTTTGTTCATTCAGATTTAACAGCAAAAAACCGTATCATTTCTTCAAGCCTTCGCAGACCCTGTGACAACGTCAGTGGACTACAGGTTGAGAACCACTGATTTAGAATATTACATGCTAAACAGCAGCTCAGGGAAGCCTGCAGTCAACCAGCACCCCGAGGTCCCTTGCACAAGTGCTGCTCTCCAGCCACTTGTCACCTAACCTGTACTTATGACACCTATTCCTATGCTCCAAGTGCAAGACTTTGCACTTATCCACATTGAACGCCATCCTGTTGCGTCCTGCCTGCTTCCATAGTCTGCCCAGATCCTTTTGGATCTGGAGTACCTGCTCCTCAGTTGTGGCCACTGCTCCAGCTTTAGTGTCGTCTGTGAATTTGATCAGCAGACTGTTCACCCCTTCTTCCATGTCATTAATGAAAAGATTAAACAGGATCGGCCCCAGGACAGAGCCGTGAGGGACCCCGCTTGTCACTGGCCGCCATGCCAATGATTCCCCACTAATGCTTACCCTCTGCTTTCGGTCATTCAACCCTGCCCTAATCCATTGGACAGTGCATTGGTCTATCCCAAAACTCCTCAGTTTCTCCACCAGGATATCATGGGGCACTTTGTCAAAGGCCTTGCTGAAATCCAGGTATACCACATCCACTGCATCCCCTCCATCTAGCCATCTCGAAACCTGTCATAGAATTCCACAAGGTTTGTCTGGCAGGACCTGTTTTGTGGAAGCCGTGTTGTGTGGCTGCCAGCCTCCCTTCCCTATCTAGCATCACTAGATCTCTCTCTATTATGAGCCTTTCCATTGTTTTTCCTACAATGGACGTAAGGCTAACAGGTCTGTAATTCCCCATGTCCCTTCTGCTACCCTTTTTGAAAATTGGGACCACTGATGCCACCCTCCAGTCCTCTGGAACTTCACCCATTCTCCACAAGGCCTCAAAAATGGAAGCCAGGGGGTGTGAGAGAACCCCTGCCAACACTCTTAAGTACTCTCAGGTGTAACCCGTCAGGGCCTGGCATCTTTGTAATGTCCAATGCCCTGAGGAACCCCTCAACTTCAAGGGGGGGTGACTCTAATCTGTGCCCCTAAGTCCCCAGCCTCATCTAAACTTCTATCCGGATATGCCCCGTCCTGCTTTGGGGAGAACACAGAGGCAAAATAGTCATTTAGCATCTGTGCCTGTTCCCTCCTATCAGTCACTGGATCTCCTTCCTCCTTATTTAGTGGTCCCACCACTTGTCTCCCCTTCCTCTTCCTATTTACATGCTGAAAGAAGCCCTTTTCGTTGCTCTTGATATTCTTGGCAAGTCTCAGCTCGTAATCAGCCTTAGCCTTGCGAAGAATCCTTCTGCAACGGGCCTCCTCCTCCCTGTATACCCTTTTGTCTATTAGCCCCAGTACCCATTTCCTACGGAGGTTCCTCTTTCGTCTAATCCCTCTAACCACCTCCTTTCGCATCCATGGCGGCACTCTCCTCCACCTCCCCACCTTACTGACTAGAGGTATCGTCAAGGCTTGCGCCTCCAAAACCTCCCTTTTGAGTGCTATCCACCCCTCCTCAACTCGCTTACCTTCCAGTAACCTATCCCAGGAGACTCTCCCCAGTCTGGCCTTCAGTTGGCCAAAGTTTGCCCTCTTGAAGTCCCAGCTTCTAGTGCTCGACCTGCTGCATGTCCCCAGTCCCCTGATCTCAAAGCAAAGGATGGAGTGATCACTCGCATCCAGAGCTCCCCTAATCTGTACTTCATCTGCCAGCTCCTCCCTATTGGTCAAGACCAAGTCAAGGATGTTTTACCTCCCTCGTCGCCTCTTGGACCCTCTGTGTAAAAAACCCTCCCTCTATAGCTTCTAGGAAGCGACGTGACCTGGCTGTCACCGCCGAGTGAGTCTCCCAACTAACAACCGGGAGACTGAAATCTCCCATAATTACTGTGTCTCTCCCCTGAGATATCCTTAGAATCAGGACATCATCCAGGGTCTCAAGTTGACCTGGAGGGCAATAACATACCCCCACTGTCAGGTCTCTTTCCCTGTCAAAACCCCTAAGTTTCACCCAGACTGCCTCTACCGAATCCCCATCTGTGCTGCATTCTATCTCGCTGCATCCTATCCCTTCCCTGACGTATAAAGCCTCACCCCCACCCCTTTCCCTTCCTGTCCTTTCTAAAAAGGTGATACCCTTCTATGTTCACATTCCAGACTTGCCTTTCATCCCACCATGTTTCTGTGATTCCCACCAGGTCATACCCTCCTATTCCCAGGAGACCTTCAAGCTCTTTCTGCTTATTACCCATGCTCCTAGCATTGGTGTACATGCACCTCAACTCCTTCCCACCGCTTCCTTTCCTTGGAGTTCCCAGCCTCCTCCTTCCTCCCATCCTCCCTGATACCTGGCCCCTCTCTGTAGGAGTCCTGTCAGTCCCTGCAGTACCTCTAAAACTCTGCTCCCAGAGCCCTGATCCTCTCCCCACACTTGTCCAGTGCAGACACGTTTCTGGGGGGCCTGAACCCCACCCCCCGGCTCAGTTTAAAGTCTTCCAAACAAAGCTCGCTAGAGCATCTCCAAAGGACCTTTTCCCCATCGTCGTGAGGTGTAACCCGTCCCTTGCCAGAAGTCCATTGGCAAGACAACGAGTGCCGTGGTCGAGGAACCCGAAGCGTTCCTTCTGGCACCACACCCTAAGCCAGTTGTTCACCTCGAAGACCCTCCTGTCCCTTCCTGGCCCAAATCCCAGGACAGGTAAGATTGACGAGAAGGCCACTTGGGCCTTCAGCTCCCTTAGTTTCTTCCCCAAGGCCTCAAAGTCCCTGGTGATCCCAACCACACCCTGCCTGGCCACATCGTTTGTGCCCACATGGATCACCAGGCGTGGCTGGTGACCCCCGGAGCGAACAAGACGCTCCACTCTGTCCTTCACATGCCGGATGTGTGTGCCCGGCAGGCAGCAAACCTCCCTTGTCTCCAGGTTGGGGCAGCACACCCCTGCCTCGGTGCCCCTCAGCAGGGAGTCCCCAACAACAATCACCCGCCGCCATGTCTTCCTGGTGGTGGTGGGCGGCCGTGCCCTGGCCCTCACCTCTCCTGCAGTGGCCCCCTTGCCGCCTGACGTCCCAGGCTGGGGGTCCTGCTGGTCCCCGAGGCCTCATCAGCCTCAGCCTCCCCAAGTGGAGAGAACCTGTTTCCCAGCTCCAGATTGGTGCCAGGAGAAGGAGGAGGCCATGCTGGCCTCCCCCTCCTGTGGGTGACATACCTCCATGTCTCCCCGGCTGCTCCTCCCGTGGCCCCTCCCTCAACCCTCTGTCCAGAGGGGGGCTGCTCCCGGGGGGCCTGGAGAGCTCTCTCGGCCCTCAGGCACCTCACCTCTTCTAGCAGGGTCACCATCTTGCACCAAGGGCAAGTGTATCCCTGCCTCTCCTGGGGGAGAAGGGCGAACATGTCGCAGCTCTCGCAGCGGACAGCAACACCCGGGACTCCCGCCAAGGCCATCTCCTGGTCTGCCATCGGGATCCCTTCCGAGACCTTACCTTGGTCCCCTGCCTTGTTTGTCCTGCAGTTCCTCTCACCCGCCCACTTCTCCCAGACAAAAACCCAGTTGTGCACACACACAAGGATAAAATAAACTTAAATTTATAAAATAAACTTAAATTTAAACAGGAGGAAAAGCAAAGCACAGCACCAAAACAAACAAACAAAGGAAAACAGAGCAAAAAAAAACAAAAAACTCTGCATCCCAGGGAAGGGAGTCCCTGGACAGCCCAGGCCACAGCTAAGGGATGCAGACAAGGGATGACGCCAAGAGGCCAGAGCCAAAAGGGCTGGCAGTGGCGGAGTGCGGCCTCATCAGTCCCTCAGGCCGGTGGCCCCGCCCCCTGCTCCCTCCTGGCCACTCTAGCCTCTCTGGCCCCGCCCCCTTCCTCTCCGCTGCTCCTGGCCCTCTGCTCCCCTGCCCAGCTCCTGCCTTGCCTTGCCTTTGCCAGTCCCCTGGCCACTCAGCGCTCTCTCCCAGCCGGTGCCCCTGCTGCTCTGCCAAGAGGCCAGAGCCAAAAGGGCTGGCAGTGGCTGAGCGCGGCCTCATCGGTCCTGTGCTTCAGCCACCAGCTTGATTTGAGCCAGGACCCGCCTGTTGTCTTTCTGTCAGTCCAGGGTATTTCCAAAATTCTCCCCTGCCACCATGTTCCAACACATCCCCTTGCCTGCATTTTGAAAGCAGCGGCTTTTCCGAGGAAACCACAGGGCAGTGGCAGCTTTTGATTTCCTTTGGCCAGGTATGCACAATCACCTTGGATCAAACATGCCTCATGCAGATGCTTGGAGGCTGGGCTGCTTGGAGAGAGGCTCCTTTCCGGGCGGCTTCTGGTCTGGATGCATCAGGAGCTTGCAGCAATTTCAGGAGCAGATCCCCAGAGGAAGGTTAGCAAGGATGCCAGCCAAGTGGTGTATCCACTCTGCATTTTGGACTGACCTTTGAAGGGCCTCTCCCTGCTCTCAATCTCACCCACACAAATAGCTTTAGCAGCAGAGAGAGCTCCTTTCAAGTTCAGACTGACCCCAGAGGGCCACTCCGCCCCACTGACAATAGGCCCTATCAGCCACTGCAGCATTCCCCACTCCTCCTTCAGGCCTGCTGAGCCCGGTGAGGACTGGGGCTCATAGCCTGCAGTGTGTTGCCTTTCAGCCTCACCCCTCCATACCCCCTGCTGTTTGGGCTTCTTTCATTATTATTATTATTATTATTATTATTATTAGAACATTTCTATGCCGCCCCTTGCCGAAGCCTCGGGGCGGCTTACAACACAATAAAATACAATAAAATACAAAAATAACAATATAAAATTAAAATTAACAATATAAAATAAATAAAATATATAAAATATAAAAGAAGTCACCCTGGCCAGATAAATAAGCAAATATTGTTAACAATTAAAGTGATGTTTAAATAAAAAGGTCTTCACCTGGCGCCGAAAAACCAGTAACGACGGTGCCAGGTGGACCTCTTTGGGGAGTGAATTCCATAGGTTGGGCGCCACCGCAGAGAAAGCCCTCCTCCAAGTACCTACCCTCCTAATTTCTTTCAGGGAGGGTTCCCGAAGAAGGGACTCTCCTGCAGATCTCAAGGGGCGGTCGGGCATATATGGATGTAAGCGCTCCTTCAGGTAACCAGGACCCAAGCCGTTTAGGGCTTATAGGTCATAACTAACACCTTGAATTGGGCCCAGGCTTCAATGGGAAGCCAGTGAAGCTGATGGAGGACTGGAGTCACGTGAACATAACGCCCCGTCAGCAACCTGGCAGCTCTATTTTGAACCAATTGAAGTATCCGGACCATCTTCAAGGGAAGCCCCACATAAAGCGCGTTACAGAAGTCAAGGCGGGAAGTCACCAGCGCGTGTGTCACCGTCGCCAGGCAGTCGTACTCCAGGTAGGGGCGCAGCTGATTAATCAGCCGAAGCTGAAGGAAAGTGCTCCTCGCCACCGCTGTCACCTGAGCTTCCAATGAAAGCTCCGGGTCGAGGAGCACTCCCAGGCTGCGAACCTTGTCCCTAAGAGGGAGTGCAACCCCATTCAGGACCAGGTCAAATCCACCCTCTCCGAAGCCCGATCCGTCAACCAACAGGACCTCCGTCTTGTCTGGACTGTCTGGATTCATCAGGACAATCCAGCAGTTTTCCATGGCTGAGCATCTAGATTAGGAAAACTGGGAGTCATAATAACTTTTTAAATAAAAAAAAAATGCATAGGATTCTGCCCTAAAGCATATATTTTTGAAACATTCATTTTCAAACCATATATAGCTACTCAGGAACAAGTCCCATGGCGTTCCATGTGATTTCTTCCTAGGTGAATGGAGGATCCCTGCCTTGTCTCGTCAAATGAGAAGGCAGGTAGATTGTAACTGGTTGCTGAAGAAAAAAACAATTGAAGTCCTCCAATTCTCCAACGGAAGAGGGTCAGGGATGCAAAGCCACCCAGGAGATCTGCTGCCAATTCTAAACTGCAAACATCATTTCCTGACACCCATCAATTTCAGGAACTTTTTTTAGACAACTATTCTGCCACCTGGCTCTGAGTTCAAAAGGAAAGAAAAATGAGATTTTGTTTTGGTCCCTATTGGGTCAATTGCGTCATTTGTTTTATTTATTACAAAATATGTATGAGTTGACATTTTGCCCCAAAAAGGAACTTGCAAGGAAAGTAGAATGTAGTCTATTTCGAGAACACAAAGGCCTGCAATTCCCAGCATGCACCAGTCAGCTCATGGGGAGTCATAAACTTTTTTTCTCTGTGAACATATGTAGGATTGTGCTATAATTCCAAATCTTTAAAAACATATAACAGGTTAAGAATCAGAGGGTAAAAAAATATAACTAATTAAGAATGAGAGCGGGAATGACATGCAATAGATGGTAACTTTAGAGTTTTAAAAATTAATATCATAAAGAATCAGAGAAAAAACAATACAGTGGTGCTTTGAACTTTGAATGTCCTTAAGTTTGAATGTTCCAGAGTTTGAATGCTAAAATCTAGAGAAGATTGTTCCAAAGGCTGAAAGGTACTCCTAAGTTTGAACTGCAGGCGCGGTGAAAAAAAATGCTTCAGTGCCTTTTCGATCCTTTCTCAGAGTCTCTTTTATTGTTCTGAGTGCCAAAATGGGTTTTGTTTAGAGTCTGGAAACAGATTCACTTTCCATTATTTATAATGGGGATCATTGCTTCAGACTTGGAACAATTCAGAGTTAAAGCGGCCTCCTGAATGAACTCATATTGAAGTACAATGCACCACTTTATTATAACTACTAGGTGAAGAACTGTGGGGGGGGGAGATCTATCATTTCACAAAGGAAGGAAACTATATATATATATATATATATATATATATAAAAAAAACTGAAAACAGAGAACAAAGTTCACTGTTAAAAGCATCCCAGCGTCCCACAGAACAAAAACATAAATCTAAACAAAGAAAAACTCTCTAAACAGTGTTGAGTGGCATTAACAGAGTTGGGAGTGGGGTGGTGGGAGATCCCGGTTCAAGTCCCCACTTAGCCATGAAGTTGCCTGCGTGTCCTTAGGCCAGTCTTGCACTCCCAGCTGAACCTACCTCACAGGGTCGATGTTTTAAAGACAGAAGGGAGCTATGTGAGTCCCCTTGGGTTTAGGAAACAAGGCAAGATATATGCTCAAAATAATAATGATAAAAACAATAGCCTGCCTAGGAAGCTCTCGGGCTAGGCATAACTTTCCCCAACCTGGCTGAGTCCAGACGTTTGGCACGTCGCCTTCCAGCATTTCTGCTACTGGCCCGGCTGGCAGGGGATGATGGGGCCCGAACCCAGAACATCTGGAGGCCGCCACGTTGGCGGCGGTGAGGCCTGTGAACAGAATACGCGGGACTCCGCCAAGGGCCAGAGGCTCCTTGCAGGACCGCGGCTGAGTCCTGGTCCCAGTGCAGGCGGGGAGGGGATAAATCGGTCGGAGGGAAGGCAAACTTTTCCCTCACGTGGTTCTTCTAGGGCAGAAAAAACCATTCCTACAACTCCCAGCTTTCTCCAGCTGGGGGATGCTGGGAGTTGTAGGACTCTTCGCCCAAGCAGTCGTCGGCTTGCGCCCTGGATGAATCGGGGCCGTTCTTTGCGCCAGCCTGGCTGGCTGGGAGGCGCGGAGAGTCGTCGGGCGTCTGTCTGAATAGGGGGCTGAAAGCGGCAGGCTCAGATTCCCGGAGGAGAAGGGAAAGGGGCGAAAGGGGGATGTCCTTTCCTCTCGCTCGCCTGCCCCGCAGCTCCCGCCCCGGAAAATGCAAAGGGGCTGTGCGAGCCTGCGGGATTTCTGGAGGCCTCCGCCAGGTAAAAGGCGCACGATGCCGGCGGGGTCGGGAAATCGCGGTGGCCTGGAGGCTTCCCGTCAGGTGGGGAAAAGGTCGGGCCGCCTTCCCCATCCGGGCGCCTTCGCGAGGTCTTGCACTGCAACTCCCATCATTCCCGGCCAGCGAGGGCGTGGGGACGGGACGCTGTTCCGACGCATCTGGCGGCACTAGGGGCTGTGCAGAAAACCGGAGCGGGGACTCCTGAGCTTGTGCCCGGTCTTCGTTCCTACTTAGAGTAGACCACCGGGGTTTATTTCGACCGGGTTTCCTCACCCTGGTGCGCGCAAGCTGGGCTGGAGTCCAACTCCCATGGTTGGGGGATGATAGAAGTTGTAGTTCAAGCTTTCGTGGAGGGGGGTGCGGGAGAAGAAAAGAAGAAGCGGGGTGCTGGATCAGGCCGAGGTTCAGCTAATGCAGTACTGCGTGCGCACATGGCCAACCGGCTACTCACGGATGCAGTGGCACCCTCCTACCCATGTTCCCCAGCAACGGGTGGGAACATGGGGATCAAGGGTGCTTGTTCATGCGTATGACACTGGAAGTAGCTTCTGGCGGTGATGAACCATTGACTGTGTTCCCTCCCTCCGTGTTTGGGTGATCTCTCCAACCCTGGAACAATTCCACTGCTCCTTAAAGCGCGGGAGAATTTCTTTGGTTGTTTTCAGCCTCTTCCTTCATTAATTACCTTTGTGTACTGCCCAGGGGCCAAAGTTCTAGGGGTGATTTACAACGATTAAAATATCTTAAAAATCCAGTATTGTGCATAATATAAAAGCAGTTATAAAAACATATTGAGAAAGCAGATGCATAAATATCCAAAGAATATCCCATGGACAGATCAAAACCCTACTCATATGTTTCCAGCTTCCTTAGGGTAGAGGAAGTTCTTCCCTTGACATGGAATAGAAAAGAAAGTTGGTGCCAGGCAGGCCTTGCAGGGGTGTTGCCTCCACCCTAATTAGGGGGCTACCACCAAAAAGACATGTTCCTTTTTGCCACCCTGAAGGAAGGCCGTAGATTATGATTGTTACATACTGGTAGTTTCATGTGACGATTCAAGAAAAGAAATTTCCTCTAGAACTTGAAATCCTCTGTAACAGTCTTCTCAACCCCGTTGTACTTCAAGGGTCTTGGGCTCCAACTCCCATCAGTCCCAGCCACCATGGTTGATTGCCAGGGATTCTGGGAGTCATATGCTTGGGGAATGCTGGTTGGTAATACTATTATACTACTCTGTTCTCTGACGGTGGTTCTCCATGTTTCCAAAATAGGACTTGTCAATCAGCACAGAGTGAAGAATTGGATGTGCTGGCGGGGGGGGGGGGGGGGAGGGGGGGGCAGCTAAAGCTTTGCAGGAATGCAATAAAATGGAGAGGGCTAAATGGGGGAATTAAAAAAATGGAAAGTCAGGAGAAGGGCCTGTGATGCTTGGAAGAGGGCATGGCTGGCAGGCACATCAAAAGGCACGGTTTTGCTGCAGGCCTGGCTTCTGCCTTTTCTTAGTGGGCTGCTGGCAAGACTAGATGGCCCAGGGGTTAAACAACAGGGCTGTTGGCAGGGAGTAGGGGAAAATGATTGCTCAGCCTGCAAGGCGGGATTTGTGTGTGTGTGTGAGCTTCATGGAAAGAATGGGTGGGGAGAAGACCATTAAACCTGTCCCGGGTTGAATTGGGGCTGTTGCTTGCTGAGCTGTGCATTATTAAAGGAAGAATTAATTTTGCTTTCTTTTCTTTGTTTCTGGGAGATGTCAAAGATGCAACAGCAAGTGGAGATAAATAATCTGAGACACATCATTGCCCCCAAAGAACCGAAGTAGTAGGGAGAGGTCAGGTTTGAGTAGCGAAACAAACGAACAAAAATAGCCTTTTGATGCCAAGTAATGGTGGCACTGGAAGGTGGTATTTTACTTGGCAGCAAGTAAGAGCTGATTTTTTAAAAAAATCATGGTATAATCCCATGCATGTTTAGGCAGGGAGAAATAGGCCTGTCTTTTTTTTCTTCTAAATTTGCTTGGGTTGGCAAATCTGAACTCTTAAGAAATACAGTCAGGAGAGGCAGGGAGCCTGATGTCTGAGAAACGTGTTTATAGCCATACTGTCATTCAGGGGCCACATGTTGGAGAACCCTGATATTCTGCATGATTATATTTTGTGGCAAATCAGAGACATATGCCGCAATGCCTGCCCAATCCTTCCCAAGGGATCGTGGGGAAGAGAAGAATTTGCTCTTGTGAAGCAACCTGAAGAAAATCTCCCAGCAACCCAGAGATTCCACTTATATTTTTTGACATCTTGCTTATATTTTGATCTGTTTTTTCCTGCACAGAACACAAGGCAGCTTATAGAATCCTCCCCTCCATTTTATCTTCACAACAGCCCTGTGAGGAAGGGTAGGCTGCAGCTCAGGGGTTGCCTCAAAGTCACCCAGGGAGGTTCGTGGCAGAATGGGGACGAGAACTGGATCTCCCAGATCCCAATCCAACAGTGTAACCACTATGCCATACTGTCAAGTAAAGGATAAGAAGATGCTGAGTGTACATGTTGACAACTAGACTTAAACTGGGTGCGATCTTTTTGCTTGCATGTGCGTATTTAGATTTTTAAAAGGTTAACTTTTGATTGAAGTATTAATAATCTATATTATTGTATTATAAATATGGTAGTAGTAACTTAAGGGTGGGAACTTTTTCAGCCCCGCAGACAGTGGAATGGCGTCAGGGAGATGTTTGGGATCGTCCTTATGTTCCATCAGAGGAGAAGCAGCCGCTCAGGTAGGCGACCGGTTGTGCGGGAAAGGCAGGGAAACGGCCCGGGCAGCTTGGACGGCGCCTCCTTTTACTCTAAGAACCTCTGGCCCATTTCCTTCTAGGAACCCCATGGAAAAATGCAGTGAGGTCCTCTACATTCACCCCATGCAGCTTAAGTCATAGTTACGTAAGAACAGCCCTGCTGGATTAGGCCAAAGGTCCATCCAGTCCAGCGCTCCGTACACACGGTGGCAAACCAGCTGCCCCCAGGATCCCTCCAGCAGGAAGGCTGTGAGACCCCCTCCTGCCCGGCTCCTCAGCAACGGGTGTGTGCAGGCAGGCCGTCTCTGGGGAAGGAGGGAGCACGTGGCCAGCAGGGCTAGTAGCCACGGGTGCCTCCTCCCTCGCGAACCTGTCCAGGCCCTTTTTAAAGCCACGCAGATTGGTGGCCACCACCACTTCCCGTGGCAGCCAATGCCGCAGTTCCGCTCTACACTGTTTAAACCTGCCACCCATCAGCTTCATGGGGTGACCCTTTGAGTTCAAGTGTTAGGAGAGAGGGAGAAAGATGTCTCTCTCTCTGCTTCCTCCACACCAGACATGGTTTTCCAGCTTCCTGATCATTTTTGTCTACTTTTTCAGCTCAATAAGCAATTTAAGTGTTATTATTATTAATCTTATTAAGTAAGGTAACTAGAACTGTGCACAATCTTCTTAGTGCGGTCACACCAACGATTTTGGTTGAACTTGATGGGGGATGATGGGACCTAGAGTCCAACCAGAGTTGCCTCAGCTCCCTTCAGATGGCCGGCGGAGGTGGAGGTCGCTTTTGCATGCTGCTTGCAAGTGGTCAGGACCAGCCATTTCCCCCTCTTCTCTCAGGGACTGGTGACCTTCGAGGAGGTGGCCGTGCGCTTCACTGAGGAGGAGTGGGCCTTGCTGGATCGGGGCCAGCGAGCTCTGTATAAGGCGGTGATGCTGGAGAATTATGAGGCACTGACTTCTTTAGGTGAGGCCCTTTGCTGTGTCCTTCCACCCGTTCCTCACAGGGGTGCCCCACGGAGAAGCTCCTGGACAGATGTTTGATATCCTCTGTCTGTTTCCCCTGTTCAGGATGGATTTCAAGGTCTCTTAGCAGAGGGGAGACCCTTGGCTGTGGAGTGTGGGCACCCAGTCCCAAAGATGGCCTGCCTAGCTCCCCAGGGTGGCCTTCAGTCTCGCGGGGTTCCCTGGAAGGTTCCCGGCCCTTCTTCTTTCTCCACGCCCTTTCCCAGGACTGGCGCACACGCAACACCCTCCCTCTCTCATTGCAAAAGGCTGAGTTGCCTCCTCACCTAAGGCTTCGGTACCATAAGAGTTTGAACCTACCACGTATTCCTAGTTTTGTCAATGTGGCCCGTAATTGCTTCTCCAAAGGGGATTTTGTCCCTCTGGCGGAACCGTTCTGCACCCTGCACAAAACCCTCATTTAGATCTTGCAGGCTTCCATCTATTTTGCCCTACGGCTCCCATCAGCCCCAGAGCCAGCACAGCCAGTGGTTTGGACTCATGGCCACTGTAGGCCAAAACATCTGGAGGGCGACAACCTGGGTTAGATGCCAGTGTTGTCACCTGTTGGGAGGAAATGCATACCTTCTTGTGTGCTTGTTTCCAGAAGCGCTTCTGAGTTCGAAACCAGACCTCATCTGTTGGCTGGAAGAAGAAGAGGAAAAGGACCACCTTGTCTGGGGAGCTGCAGAAGAGGAGAGATTATCAGGTAGGGTGTACCAGGACCCGTGCGTCCCTAGAAGTGAGCAGAATTGCAACATTTCAGGTGTTCCCCATTTCAGTGTCTCTTCTTCCAGGGAAGTGGCTGGATTCTCTCGGACAATCTCTCTCCTGGCTTTGTGTCTTTCCCATGGTATCTTCTCAGGTTTCCCGTTCTCTACCGGAATGGGAGAAGAAAATGGAAGGGGTCTGTGTTGTATTTATCGGGCCTGTGGAATATTGATCTCAGCTGTCCACTGAGAAATACCTCTCCGTTTCCCTGTGTCCTGTCTAGAAAGTTTCTACTTTCGCATTCCTTACCGGTACAGTCATTATAACATTTGTATCCTAACTTTTCCCTCCAAGAATCCCAAGGTAGCTCACAGGATCCTTCTCTTCCTCTCCGTTTTATCCTCGCAGCAGCTTAACTGAAATTCATCAGGTGGCCCAAAATCACATTGAGCTTCACCATGTCGGAGGACTAGAGCCTATGCCTCCCCCGTCTTAGTCCAAAGCCTAACTGCTCTCTTTTTCTACCAACTTCTATTTTCAAGTTTTTATTCTTTTCTACCAATAAAACAAATAATCATTCAAAAGACGTCGGACATACTAGATTATCTTATTCTCTTTACAATTAATGTATATTTCAGCCCAAAGTATAATCCCACTTCTCTAGCCGTTGATAAAAGGAGTCCCACGTTTGGCAGTAATATGCGCCTTCTTTTTCCTTAAGAGACAAAGTCAGTCTGTCCATTTCTGCACAGTCGAGTATCTTCTTTAAAATAATTTCTTCAGTTGGTATTTCCTTGTTCCTCCAGTGTTGTACAAATACAATCCTCAACTGGCTCTCTTTGAATGAGCACAAACTTCTAAGAATTCCCTCTCTCTGTTTTATCTCAAAGATGATGGGGTTTTGATCAGCTGGGAAAATTATTTTCGACTGGAAAGTCCCATGGCAGAATTGGAAATTGAGACCTTTCCAGAAAGATGCCAGGAAAGGATTTCCTTCCCAACCGTTGATGGTGAACGTGAGTATTGGTTACTGATGCGAATGATACCAGGGAAGGAAAGTGAAATAAATTACCGCAACACACAGAGAGCGGCATCAAGTGTTAGACGGACCTCTGCCATTCTCCTTTGGGTAGACGTAACGCTGGACGCAGCCCAGAACGGTGCCTTGCCTGATTCAGAACTGTGCGGAGAAAGTCTGCGCTTGTGCAGAGGAAGGTGTGATGGTATTAGATGAAGCACCGGGAGCCCGGAGTGTGGACAGGAAGTGGCACCACGGCGCCCTTCCTTTTTGTCCTCTCTGAGGCCCAGTCATGTCCTCGTGGGGGTGGATGGCTCAGTTCTTTCCATGCTGGCTGTGCAGGGTTGGGTGCGGACTTGGCCTTTGACCCCCCTCAGCTCTGAAAACTCCTGTGGCCCCCACAGGCAGTGTCAGGAGCCCAGATGATTGCCCCCTTAGAGAGCACTCCTTTGGTCTTTGAAAAGCATCATGGGGGACCATTGGATTTTTCAGAAGCCCCGTCCCAAAGTTGCAGACACTTCTACAACGTTGGGCAGGGGGATCCCAGACTCAATCCCTCCGCCCTCCCCTTGCAGCTTATGCCGCCCCAGGAGCTTTTCTGAAAGGGAATCTGGTCCTTGGGCTGGTGAGAGGTTCAGCATCCTTGGTGTGGACAATACCAGAGGCCTGGCTTGGGGTCAGACATCCCTGCAGCTCGCACTTAAATGCACTGCAGGGAAAGAAATAGCTTGTCTCTCTTGAAAATGAAAAACCTCTGTGCACTGCGCAGTGGGAGCTCCATTTTCCAGCTTCCAGCATCAGCAGTCTATGATTTCTGTAGTCTGGTGTTGATCACTCCCCACCCTAAACAATAAACCCAAACAAACTATAAGTACCACTCTGAACTCACCCTCATATTTTTATTTTTTTGCAGCGGAAGTGTGCCGTTCTGAAACGTCTAAGGACCATTCGCACAACACCCAGTATCCGTGTTTGGTCAAAGTAGATCCTCGTTCGCTTCTCCCTCAGCTGGAGTTCTACACCCAGGCCCTGCGGGTCGTGTTCCATTCGACGCTGAGCCTGTGCAATGCCTACCTGTTCAGCATTGGCAGGCAGCAGCGGCGGAGAGAACTGATCGGCCAGTTTTTCCGGAAGTACTTCTTGAAAGCTAACAGGAGCCACCGCGTCCTCCGCAAAAGGAGGACCAAACGGGCCGCGGCGTTCCTCGCGCTGCTGGACAGCGGACCGATCCCCCGGCGCTGGTGGGTGTCTCCCACGACCAGCCGCAATTGGTGGGAGAACTTTGTTCAGGCGGACTCGGGCGACGAAAAGTGGATCGAGCACTTCCGCATGAGCAGAGGCACTCTTTTTGAAATCGCGGACATGCTCCGGCCCCAGCTGGAGCGGCAGAAGACCACCATGCGGGAGGCCATCTCCGTGGAGAAGCGCGTGGCCATCGCTGTTTGGTGGCTCTCGAATCTGGAGTGCTACCGCGAGGTTGCCACTCAGTTTGGGGTGGGGAGATCCACCGTAGGAGAGATCGTCTTGGAGGTCTGCTTCGCCATCAAACATCGGCTTGCCCACCGAATCGTCTACTTGGGAGACTACCAGAAGGTAAGCTGAAAGAGTCATGGAATAGCGGGGTGGGAAGGGACCGAGGAGGCCATCAGGTCCAACCTCCTGCTGGTGCAGGACACCAAGTCGCACCATCCCACTCAGATGGCTGCCCAGTTTCCCCTTCAACCTCTCCAGTGCGGGAGAGCCCACCGCCTCTCCAGGCAGCTGGTTCCACTGTCCTATTGCTCTGACAGTGAGGAAGCTTTTCCTGATGTCCTTCCTGAACCTGGGTTGTCGCAACCTGAATTGATTATTCCATGTTCCATGCTCTGGTATCAGCAAGGAGAGATCTTGACCTTCCTCTTTGGGACAGCCTTTGAGGTATTTTTAGAGGGATATCATGTCCCTCCGCAGCCTTCTCTTCTCAAGGCTGAACATGCCCAGTTCTCTCAGTCTCTCCTCATAGGGCAGGATTTCTAAACCCTGATCATTTTTATTTTATTTATTTATTTATTAAAACATTTTTATGCCGCCCCATTCGCCGAAGCCTCGGGGCGGCTCACATCATTTTTGTTGCCTTCCTCTGGAGCCTTTCTAATTTTCCTGCATCTTATCTTAATACTTGGTGCCCAGAACTGGACACAGTATTCCAGATGAGGTCTGATTAGTGAAGAGTATAGGAGAACTACTACTTCTCATGATTTGAGAGTAATACTTCTGTTCATGCATCCCAAAATGGCATTTGCCCTTTTGGTGGCTGCATTGTATTGTTGGCTCATGTTTAGCCTATTGTCCACAATTACTCCAAAATGTTTTTCTTTTTCAGTCCTCTTGGCGCACATATTCCCCATCTTGTATTCTCCAGGGTGGAGGACTTGGCACTTGTCCTTACTGAATTTCATTCTGTTGCTTTCAGCCCAGCGTTCAAGTTTATCAAGATTGCCCTGGAACTTCATTCTGTCTTCCAGGGTGTTTGCTATTCCACCCAGTTTTGTATCATCTGCAAATCTGATTATCTGTCCTTGTACTTCCTCATCTAAATCATTAATAAAGATGTTGAAGAGCACTGGGCCCAGGACTCGCCCAAAGAGAGAGCCAACATTATTTGAGAGAGCTCTTATTTTGTCATCTTAATATTTTTAAAGGATAATTTAAATGTTTACCTTTATGCATGTGGCACACTTTGTCTTACACCTGTTCATTTCTTTGAAGTGGGCCAACCAAATTTTCTCGTGTGGAAAAACACCCTGTTGTGACGGTTATCTTATTTTGCCACATTTCTGTTTTTTAACAGGGTTTATCTGCATAGCTGTGCTAAATATTCTTTTGTGCAGCATTGAAAAGCAACAAAATCTTTGATGTGTTCATTATTGTATATAAGCACCTTTTAGGGATTTATTTATGGTTGCGATAACCTCCCCACTCCACTAAAAATCCCTTTTTAATTAATGACTCCCGCTTTATCCTTTTCAAAAGCCAGTGTGGTGTAGTGGTGAAGAGCATGGGACTGGGACTCAGACGATCCGGGTTCCAGTCCCCGCTCAGCCATGCAGCCAACTGGGTGACTTTGGGCCAGTCACAGACTCTCAGCCCAACCCACCTCACAGGGTTGTTGTTGTGGGGATAAGATGGAGGAGGAGATGTAAGCTGCCTTGAGCCCTTTGCAGGAAAAAGGCAGGATATAAATCAATAATAATAATAAAAAAAGAATACAGGGTTCCTTGCGGCAAATGTTTTTTTTTCATTCATGGATTTTTGCTTATTCCTTGCAGATAATGGATGGTTTTAAGGAGCTGGGATTCCCTCACTGCATTGGTGTCATGGATGGGACGCTTCTACCCATTGTGACCCCTACGGGCCAGGCAGAGGAGTCTGCCAGCCGCAAGAAATTCCACTCCATCCTCCTCCAAGGAACAACGGACCATACGGGCCGATTTATTGACATCGAAGTCGGGTGGAGCGGGAAACACCACGACGTGTCCATCTTCCGGAAATCTGCACTCTGCCAGGGCATGGATAACGGCAGTTTTGTTCCGGGGAACCCCGTTATCACCCTGGGGGACACAGAGGTGCCGGCGCTAATCCTTGCCGACGGCGCGTACCCCATGCGGAAATGGCTCATGAAACCCTACGAAGGCCACCTTGGCCCGAGGGAGACCCTGTTCAACAGCATCCTTGCCCGTTGCCACGACGTGGTCGGGCGGGCCTTTGGCCGGCTGAAGGCCCGGTGGCAGTGCCTCACCAATCGGCTGCCGGTGGCGGAAGAGAACGTGGTGCCGGTGGTGACCGCGTGTGCCGTCCTGCACAACATTTGCGAGACCAAGGGGCATGCGCTGCAGGAAGGCTTGGACATCCCTGACCATATACTGTTACCCGACTACAACGAGGAGGAATCCTGTCCGTGTAACAACAGGGATGTGGAAGAGGGGGAAGTGGTGCGCGATGCAATCACTGCGCTCCTGGCTGAGAAGAGCCAACCCTGATTGGAACATTTCCCGTCGTTTGTGTTTCTTAGTTTCCAAATAAAGTTGACTTGATTACACAGCGTGTTTCGTTCCTGCAGTGTGCCTGTCCGTGGCCTGGTCCTACGGATAATCCGATGAAGTATTCCTGGTGGTTCCACAGGGTCCTGTCATCTCTTTGGTGTCCACTGGGGAGCAGAGCCTTCACTGTGTTGGCCCCTCTGTGGGGAACTGGTTTTTTATATCAGACAGGCACCAGTCTTGTTTTGTTTTTGACATTTACGATGATATTTCTATTTAAACAAACTTCCCTGACTCACAGGCCATGGCTTTATTGACACAATTGGATTTGAAATATTTTAATTCTGTATTTTGATTTCTTTTACTGTTCATTGCTCAGGAATATTGTTCACTAAAGAGCACTATAGGAATCCTGTAAAGAAGGAAACCCTTCGTAAGAGTCAGTGTGAAGTTGTGCACGAAAGGCCAAGTCCATACTAGGCATCACTGGGAATGGGACTGAGAATAGAACTGCCAAAATCTTACTTCCCTTCGGTATGACCACACAATCTTGTGTTCAGTTCTGGTTGTTTTACCCAAAAAGGACATTGTTGAATTGGAAAAGGTGCAGGGAAGGACAACAAATAACCAGGGGGCTGGAATAGCTATGGAATTCACTCCCCAAAGAGGTCCGCCTGGCACCGTCGTTACTGGTTTTTCGGCGCCAGGTAAAGACCTTTTTATTTAAACATCATTTTAATTGTTAAAATATATGATCTGGCCAGGGCAACTTCTTCTTCCTTCTCTTTTCTCCTCCTATATTCTTTATTTACGTATTTTATACTGTTAATTTTAATTTTATATTATTATGTTTGTATCTCAGTGTATTTTTTGTATTTT